GCAGAGGTGGGTAAAATGCATTTAAATAAGTATTTAAAATGGAAAATGCAAAATGTATTCAGATATTGTATTTAAAATGTAAAATGCAAAATGGTTTTTGTACATTTATTTAAAATACAAAATAGAAAATAGGTATTTGAAATAACATTTCGAATACAAAATGGTTTTACAATTTATTTATTTGCAATAAAATTTACATTAGCTTTAATTATTAAAAGTTTTTCAAATGTATCATCATTCATGCATCGACGTTTTGGTCGCATGATCATCCCTGCGTATGAAAACAGCCTTTCAGCAAGAGCCGCGTGCGTAAACCACAGAAATCACGTAAACAAGCAAGCCACAACAACACAAGCAAGCCAAGCACGTTTTGTGCAAGGAAGCGTTTTGATGCACTTATTTACCACAGATCACCATTTTTATTTTCTTTCCACAGATCACATTTGCAGGTAAACCAGAAAAACTTTGAATCGAATCTATACTACGTTATTTTAAATAGAAAATAGTTATACTGATTTATTTAAAATAGAAAATAGAAAATGATTTTATCTACAGTATTTAAAATACAAAATATAAAATGGCATTTTCTATTTTAAATACGTATTTCAAATAAATTCATTCGAAATAGGTACACATCTGGACGTTAGAGCATACGTACCGGGTGACCCAATAAGACTGTTCCTCGGCCATATCTCGAGAACCGTTCGTCATATGACTTAGGGGTAAAAAAAAATTATTGGGTAAATCGGTCATGAAGAATCGCTGGAAAAGATTTTCAAGTTCTTAAAAATGACCAACAGAGGGCGTAACTGCCATCTTAAATTTTAAAATTGCATTTTCTTTAAATTTCGCATAATAAACTAAACATTCTTTTTTCACATTTTTAAAGAGAACCAGTTTATCTATCATTTTCGTAAAAACAAAAACTCAGTTATTTCAAAAACAAAGATGGCGTGGGGCGTTCAATTGTTTTTGCAATAACCTGCTTTAACTTCTTAACCGTTTGACCGATTTTAACAAATTTGGTATGGTTGAAAAGAGCATTCCTTGGGCAAACAGAATCAAACAATATAGTTAATTTAGTTGAATCCTAGTTTTGATAATATGAGCCACATTTTAAAAAAATCAAATGGAATGATATGACTTTTTCCTTATAAAAAAAAGTAGCCAAATAACATCCAAAGAGGCAAGTGAAAACCGTTTTTCAAAATCTCGTTCCTAACCTCAAATACTGGGAAAATGAGATTAATTAATTGATTAATAAAAATGCTTAAATTGTATCTTAAATTTACTTTTTAAGTATTTCCGATATTTGTAGATGGCGCGAAAGAAAAGCACCATACACTTTTAAGTAGACCTTGGAAAATTAAACAAATGAAACACGATGCATGATAAAATTATAAAAGCCGTAATTTGTAAATTATTCTGCTGTGGTTACATTGAGAAAGTGCAGTTTATTGATTTTCTAAGGTATGTGCACTCCCAAACGTAAATACGCATATCAAAAAAACGCAAAGCCGCAGTTAAAAACACTTATTTTTCGAATTTATATTGACTTTGCGACATTGGCGGGCATCTGTTGGTCAATCTGGGCGACTCGCTATGCGCAAAAGCTGGCAACACTGTCTGGTGGCAGTAATTTTAGGTTATCTCTTTTTCATTTCAGAAAAAGGCGAACCATTACCCATTTATTTCAGCACAGTTTGAATATGTAATTATTACAAATTACGGGAGTCTCATAAGGTAAGCCCTTGCTTCATTACGATACGATTCAATAAAATATTGTAGGGTTCATGATGTCCGAAGTTGATGGCTCTGCGCCTGTGAAACTTGAACTGAAACTAGAAGCAGAAATAAATTCATGTCTTGAGAACAGCATTTTCGTAAACAACTCGGCATGGGCATCGGTGAAAGACGAACCAAAAGAGACCATCGGTGGAGGGTGCTCCACATTTTTGCACCATGTAGACCAGCCGCAACAAAAGGATTGTGGCTCGGGTCTGGAACCCGGAAGCTTAAAAGAATTTAAGTGTGAGCTTGAATACCATCATACAAGTAATACAAAGTTTAAATGTGACGTTTGTGAATACGCAACAGATGTCAAACGGCAACTTCAGTCGCACCATTTAAAACACAAAGATACTAAAGATTTCAAATGTGACAATTGCGATTATACCACCCATCGAAAGTTTAGTTTAAACCGCCACCTGCTAAGGCACAAGGTTACAACTGATGATTTTAAATGTAATAGTTGTCATTATGCAACAAATAACAAATATCATCTTAAATTCCATCTATTAACTCATAAATTTGCTAAAATTTTTAAATGTGACACTTGTGATTATAGCACCCATCGTAAATCCAGTTTAAACCGCCACCTGCTATTGCACAAGGATACAAAGGATGATTTTAAATGTTACAGTTGTGATTATGCAACGAATAATAAATGTCAACTTAAATACCACCTTTTAACTCATAAACTTGCCAAAGATTTTAAATGTGATGCCTGTGATTATGCGACATACAATAAAAGATATTTGCACGAACACCTCAAAATTCATGAAATTAACAAACGCTTCAAATGTGACATTTGTAACTATGCAACAAATATTAAATGTAATCTTAAACGTCACATTTTAACTCACAACAGTTCCACCGATTTTAAATGTTACAGTTGTAATTTTGCATCCAATATTGAACTTGCTTTTAAACAACATCTTTTGACACACAAACTTTCTAAAGATTTTATATGTAGCACTTGCGTTTATGCAACTAATAACAAAACTCACTTTAAACAACACCTTTTAGCGCACAAGGATGGCAAAGATTTTAAATGTCACAAATGTGATTACGCAACAAACGTCAAACAACATTTTAAAAATCACCTTTTAACTCACAAAGTCGTTAAAGATTTTAAATGCGATAGTTGCGATTATGCGTCGCATATTAAACGTTATTTGATACGGCACCTACTAATACACAAAAATTCCAAAGATTTCAAATGTACCCATTGTGATTATGCAGCGCACGATAAATTCAGTTTAAAACTCCACCTCTTAAGACACAAGGAGTCGAAAGATGACTATAAGTGTTACAGTTGCGAGTATTCGACAAATATTAAGCAGCATCTTAGATACCACGTTTTAACTCACAAAGTTGCCAAAGATTTGAAATGTAACATTTGTGGTTACGCAACACACTACAAATCCAGTTTGAACCTTCATCTCTTGACACACAACAAAGTTTCAAAAGATGATTTTAAATGTTACAATTGCGATTACGTAACGAATATTAAATGTCATCTGAAGTCACACCTGCGGAGTCATAAACTTGCGAAAGATTATCAGTGTAACATTTGCGACTATAGAACACGTTATAAATCCGGTTTGAACATCCACCTCTTACGGCACAAGAAAGTTTCAAAAGACGATTTTAAATGTTACAATTGTGATTATGTAACAAATATCAAATGCAATCTTAGATCACATCTTTTGACTCACAAAGTTGCAAAAGACTTTAAATGTGACCACTGTGATTATTCTGCATACAGTAAAAGTTGTTTGAACCGGCACCTCAAAGTACATAAAATTATCAAACTCTATACATGTGACATTTGTAACTATACAACGAATATTAAATGTAATTTTACTCGTCACCTTCTAACACACAAAAGTTAGAAAGTTGTCAGAAAAGAACATGTGGCTCCTAATGGTACAATAGCAACTGTCACATTTGGAATTGTGCGTTTTTTACATTGTAATTGTAATATAATTACTATATTTTATAAGTAGTTAAGATGATAAAGTGAAAATTGCATTGTAGCACATCTTTATTTAAATTAAATTTTATTTCAGTTCAGCGTATGTAGGTATTTAAGAGAGAGCGCTTCTTGTCTCGTGCGGAATGCAGCTCTTCCAAAGATCTTCAAACCGCAGTTATTTCTAACTTGTACTGATCTTAACCCCACCCCAGGCTCGAAGAGAAGATGACAGATTTCGCTGCAAAGTGGCAACGTTGCATTCCCAGTATCAAAACACAGTTCCCGCTCAAATTTCAAACAAAAGAATGGCACGTGATTGGATCGTCTAAGGTAGGGCCCCCTTACGTTACACGAAGCTAATACAATGACTCGGGGCCCAGTCGGGCAGGAACACCCAAATAAAACACTGTAATGTCTGCGAGTTTATTTATTATAAACTTATTCTGAAAACCCGGGAATTTGGATGTGGTACATTAAAAGCAAAGCAAGCCAAACCTAAAGGTGTCGCACTCTCGCAAAAGCAGACTACCAGAGAGAAAAAGAGCGCGACTTGAGAAAAAACCTTGGCCTTGAATAAAACCCAAACTATGATAATCACAAGCAAATTAAAACACCAACCACCTAAGCAGAACATGTAACACTACCTTAATTAATGAATGAATTCAATGTAGCAGGGTACGTTTGAACAGTATGCGTAGAGTATTCGTCACAACATGTCATGTACTTGCTTTAATCACGGCTAGAAGACTAGAACTTTTAGTTAGTCATTGGGTAGTGAATCAGGTTATTCGTTAAGTTTGGGTTAGCGCCTTCGCTTGATTGCCCTCCTGTTTCACGGTTATATTGTTAGGGATGGGGCTGGCATATTTGCCTATTAACCCGTAGCGCAGTTAAAATTGTTAGGGGCAACACATTCATGCATTTATTGATATAAGTCACCTTACTAGTTATTCATATTGTATATCGAATGGAGTGGTGTGAAGTTTGTAAAACATGTCTGATCTATTATTCATGTTGTGACGTAACAATAGGCAGTTATGACAATACACAGTGTGCTCGTGAAGCCCCAATTATGCTCAGTTTCCACATAATGACATTGGTATAAACCCCAGACTTCCGGAACTACTACATGTGTTTCGTAACACTCCCCTGACATCGGCCACGTAACGATACAAAACTGAAGATGGTTAAGAGATGGGTCGCCGCCCATGGGTAAGACGGACTTCGGTTAGCAGCACTTCGTCTCTAAAGTTGGAGGTTCGAGGGCCCTCGGATCCTTTCGTGCCTTAGCTCTAGAATACAGTTCTATTCTAGCGTCCGAGCTCCCTCTCACGGCAGGAAGACAATAATTACACACAACAAGGCACACACATTCGCGAATGTTACGAGTCACCCTAACGTAAATACACCTAGCATTGCATGCCCTACTTCACGGAAATCGAGGTTCTACATAGGTACACACTCGTGCACCGTGTAACTGAGTTAAACGTGGTCTAAACCTGAGATATCGTAGACTTCCACAAGCACATGGGTATTAGTTAACACCTCGCATGGTGTAAATTACATATTACCACAATGATAGATGGAAAATATCTGATATAACAAATGGCACAATTCATATAAGTACATAAGAGTAAACTACATAAAATACTTTACCCGACACCAAAGTGGTTGAATCTTACGCACAAACACAAAAACAAAGCTAAACTCTATGCATACAACTCAAAAAGCAATAATCCCACCACCAACAAGCTTTAACAATCAACAAGTGACGCCAAGCCCCCAAATCCAAACTACCTCCGCAAATTACAAAAAAAAAATTATGGACAGGTGGTGATGGCGGTGGCTCATGTCCCCAGAATCTCCAATTACTTGACCGTTGCATCCGACGTTGAAATATACAGGGTATTTAAAGGGATGTAGACATCTCAGTATTAATTCTAACGATTAATTTTCAATGTTGTGAATGTTGCCCTTTAAAATACAAAAAAACGTATACGATAATTTTGAATTGTTAATTGTGCGTATTAATTTTAAGGTTGTGTATGCTGCTTAAGCGCTTTACTTGGAACCGGAACAGTTATTTAAGAAGTTATGATAACCAGAACCGATACCGTTATTATTAGTGCTAAAGAACCGATATTTTTCGGTTCTCTCTGTCTTGTAGGTAGAGTAGATACGTTACATTAATATTATTCAATTTGCTAATATAGGTAGCAAACGAATAGCATCTAGAGAATTCTAGAGTCAGCATATAAAGCTAAAATTAAGTTTCAATTAAGCCTAATAAATATATTTATGCAAAAGAATGATATAGGTACACACTTTAACCTTGTGTATTATTTATTTTCTATAATTAATAATAATTTATATTTTTTAATAATAATTTTATTTATTTTATGTTAGAACCCTTAAAACCGAAAGAAAAACTGGAACTGGAACCGAAAACTACTGAAGCCACAGAACCGGAACCGATACAGGAACACTTAAAAAATAATTCTAAGTACCTAAAAAGTGAGGAACCGGAACCTATATTTCATATGGGTTCCAACCCCTGAATTTAATACACCATTTCCTTCCTATACAGACACATGCAATCTGTTCCGGTTCCTGTACCGGTTCTTTTCAGTTTCGATTACAAACCCTGGTTAAATTAGCTTTGCCATGGCTAGCTTTTAAGCGTTTGAAATCATAAATGAAATCATTTCAGTTTACACGTTCATGTACTCTATGGTACAGTACTTCTTGACAATAAATAAAATGCATACTTTGGTATGTGTCTTTATAATTCCTTTTACGGCGATAAATAAAAGGTTTTAATATAAGTGATAACACTACTTAACGGCATTCATCTCGAAATACAACTTTAGTCTAAGGTTACCGTACCCAGGACCTTCAGATACATTCCGGATTGGAAAAGGTCCGGATAGTTAACGATGTATTTTGTGTATGTAAATATTTGTAAGAAACTTCAGAGCGTTATCTTTCACAAATGGGAAGGGATTGGAGGTGCTTTTAAATCTACTTGAGATGGCACCTTTCAATAAAAATTAATAAAAGATGTATTGAAGGAATTTAAAACTTTTGTCTGAAGAAGACGCCTTCTTATCCAATCCTGTTTGCATTTACCGATCCCATGCCAATAGAACTTTAGTTAAGGTTACCGTATACAGGGCCTTCAGATACATTCCGGATTCATTAACGATGGATTTTATGGTCTTCACAAATGGGAAGGGATTGGAGGTGATTTTGTCTATTGTTAACCCCCTTGCTTCTTCTACTTCCCAACCTATTACGGCTGCGTCTAGAGTGGTTGGTAGTGCGAACGTTATGGACTGTAAGGAGATCGCTAAACGACCTTTGGTTGTTCCGATGGTTGAGAAGCCACCATTTAGTCCAGTTCGTTTTCACCCAGTGATTTGTTTTGGAGCGTTTAGATAGATATTTTCACTTAGCACGGTTCGATGCAGTGGAGACGTTAGAGGTTGTTCGGGGTTGCCACATTAGATTGGATGAGTGTCCGTGAGATTTTGAACATTTCAAGAGCGATTTTCTGGCATATTTTTAGTCGACAGATCAGCAGCATGTCGAAAGAACCAGATTGACCAACAAGCGATTTATTGCAGAGGGAGATTTGTTTATGCCACCATATTTTTTAAAACTGGTTTCACTTTTCCGAACCTTTCAACCACCAATTAAAGAGGAAATTATTCGTCAGTATCCGTATTGTGGGCCGTTTGTCCAGTTCGCAATGATGATAGGGCCCTAAAGTTTTTAGAACGTCAGGATGTGCTAGGAGGTAAGAGGCCTAGAACAGTCACAGAACCTGTTTCTGCTGTGGTTGCTCAGAGACCTCGTTTAGATGTAAACTCCTTCACCCTTTTCCACCACCTATGTGGCAACGTGGTTCTATTGGCATGGGATCGGGAAATCCCAACAGGATGGGCTAAGAGAGCGTTTTCTTCAGACAAAAGTGTCAAATTCCTTCAATATACTTCTTTTATTAATTTTCATCGAAACGGGCCCGTCTCAAGTAGATTTAAAAGCACCTCCCTTCCCATTTATGAAGGATAAAACTCCGAAGTATCTTGCAAAAAGTAGGTATTGCATTGTTGATTATCTGGACCTCTTCCAATCCGGAAGGTATCTGAAGGTCTTGGATACGGTAACTAAAGACTAAAGTTGTATTTCGAGATGAGCAAATACTTTCTAACGGTGTCTCTATATATGCCAACGGTACTTTGTCGTTTGAACGGTGTCTCTATATACGCCAAAGTTGGAAGCGTTATGGAGTTGGAGATCCATGTAACTACTCATTAGTTTCTTTAAAGATTATAATCAGTTATTTTCCCTACAATAGAAACCTTTTACAACTGACATAATCTAACAATATAGAAAATAAATATATTAGAGATTTAGAAACACATTTAAACAAAATATTAAAGGTACATACATATAACACATCCCTCACTCTAGAAGTAACAATTTTAAAATACATATCGATACCACATTCAAACTTTTTTATGCTGCACAATATGCCGTTGCAAATTACACTTAAAATTTGTTGCATATCCGCAAATGTCACAATAAAATTTCCTTATATCTCCGTGTCTTAACACGTGTTGCATAAAATGAGATTTAACATTAGTCGCGTAATCGCAATCTTCGCATTTAAAATCTTGAGTAACTTTGTGCGTCAAGAGATGTTGTTTAAAATTATATTTATGGTTTGTTGAATAATCACAAGCGCCACATTTAAAATTATTTTTATGCATTAAGAGATGTTGTTTTAAACAAATGGTACATTCACAATCTTGAGAGTCTTTGTGCAGTTTTGTAGCAATTTTATGCTTTAAAAGGTGTCGTTTCAAACTGGATTTATTATTTGTTGCGTAGTCACAATGATCACATTTAAAATCTTTAGAAGCTTTGTATTTTCGAACGTGTCGTGCTAAATAAGCTTTAATGTTTGTTGTATAATTACAATTGTCACATTTCAAATCTTGCGTAACCGCATGGATTAAGAGGTGTCGCTTAAACGATACTTTTATACTGGTACTATAGTCACAACTGTCACATTTAAACTCGTGGGATAATTTATGAGTTAACACGTGCCGTTTTAAATAACATTTATTGTTAGTTGCATAATCGCAATGAGGACAATTTAAATCTTTCGAAACTTTGTGTATTAGCAGATGTTTTTTCAAATGGCATTTTCTATGGGTTGAATAATCACAGTGGACACATTTAAAATCTTTGGAGCTCTTGTGTGTTAGCAAGTGTCGTTTAAAATTCTCTTTGTGATTGGTTGCGTACTCGCAATGAACACATTTTAAATATTTGGAAACCTTGTGTGTTAACATATGCACATCTAACTTGCCTTTCCAATTGGTTCCGTAGTCACACTGGGCACATTTTAAATCCTTGGAGGAATTGTGTTTTAACAGTTGATGCCTTTTCAGGCTGTATGGAATATTAGTTGAGTAATCACACTCGGTGCATTTTAAATCCTTGAAATCCTTGTGTATTAAGAGGTGTGCATTTAAATTATATTTCCTATTGGACGAGTAGGCACAAAGAGTACATTTAAAATCTTTTAATGTTGGCGGTCGTTTAGCGTGGGGCAAATCTTCTGAAGAATTCTGAACCGCATAAATTTCCAGCTTCACTTGATTTTTATTGTTCATCAAATTATTGGAAATGTAAGAATCCACGCCGAGTGTAATTTCACTCGGTTCCGGTTTTATTGCTGGATCCTGGTTTGCCAGAAAAACCTTTTCATCAATTGACGCGTTTATTTCTCCTTCTTGTTTGGGCTCAACTTTAACGATTGCCGACATTATCCCTTGGATTACTCCAATAATAATAATCGAATACCTAATAATAACCACAAAATATTACACGGAAAGTAAATGAAACTCTCAGACAATTACCCAGCTGCTAAGAAATTTAATTAATTTTAACTGTATTTAGAAATAAAGCAGTTTTAAGTACAGGTATGTAAATAAAAGGACGAGCATATTTTGAGGTTACGTTACGTCATTGCAGAGTGGTGGCAAACATCCCGACATATTGTATTGTAAAACTGTGTCAAGACAACAGTGCTTTATAAAGACAGTGACTACGTTTACGCGGCATGTGGATATGTTCCAACCGGTTTTTGCAAACCCAGTTGAAATCATATAGCGTTTTCGATTGGCAAAACTCGTACTGCACGAGTGTTGCACGAGAAACTGAAGAAATCCATGTGAAAATTGCTCTCAATGGAACATAAATATTCGTAAATATTTGCTGTCATTTGTCCATAACCTCATTTTAGATTTGTATTTATACAATGATTTAGGTAATCGACAAATCTGTATTCTAAAAAAATGACTGAAACGATTTCACTATTATTTATGATAAACAATGAGGAATATAAATTTGAAATTCCTGTAAAGAACCAATTTTTGGCGTTCACTTTAAAGAGTAAATGCAACTTTTTGTAAAGTAGAAGTTATATGGCTAGTTCATCATCTTCGCTATCGCTAGATGACAACAAAAAACTCTCCAACGCAAGAAACAAATTCAAATTGGCGCACTTTTATTTTGAAAATTTGCTCCACGAGCTCTCCGACCTCGTGCGTCAAAATTTGCATTTAGTGCGTAATTGTTGCATCACATTTGCCAATGGAACACAGAAAATTGCCCTAAAATTACCAATAGAACGTAAAAATTGCACTCGTGCAGCACGAGTTTTGCCAATCGAAAACACTAATAGATAATTAAATTATCTATGGTTGAAATATGCGGGTATAAAATTCGATCAGATACATTTCTCTACTTCTGGATAGAGTTTGTGTTTAGCAGTCTCTACCATTCTACCAATTACTTCAATGTTATCTTCGACTGTTGGCTTGCGGTTCTGACACACGGAAACGAAATGTTTATATTTTTCATGCAAGGACATATTTTCTGGTATATTTTCCTTTTGCTGTTTGATTTGTGCAACCAAATTGTGTGTCTTCGTTTGTGAAATACATGACACCGCCTTCGAATTTCTTATTAAAACACTTCTGCTGTAGTAAGTACACAATAACGTTCGATTGTCTTTCGATCCGGTTATATTACGTTTAGGGAATGCAATACCGGGATCGCGGGATCTCGAAATACCGGGATCCCGCAGCATTTTTGTGGAATTAATCCCGTACGTAAATGGAGCGGGTTCCCGCGGGATTTGCGGCATTGCAGAATTTATCGACCAAGCTTACCACCATTCATTAGCAACTCTGCGAATTTGATTATGTCGCACATTTTTGTTGTTGCAGTTCATGTAATAATTACGCGCAAACCTGTATCTGTTATTAACTTTGTTAAACAGCGATTGAGTGCGTAAATCAGAATTATTTTGCTACTGTTTTAAAACGCAGGAACTGTTATTCTTGTAGACAATATGTCGGACTCGTCGATTGTTTATAAAAGCCTTAAGTAGTAAAGTGACTGTATGGAAATATTGCATTGCAGCGAATATTCTAGAAATCCAGATCGACATGGAGGGGCCATAAAAAATTGCTCACCGGCGACAAGAAATGACGGCAGATGTGGTGCATTCTTTCTACGAAATAGAATGTGTTTTCTTGAGAATATTCCGTTAGCTGCACTAAATTGCGGGATTCCGCAAATACCGGGATCCCGCGGGATTACTATTTAATGATCTCGCAAATACCGGGATCTAAATTTTGCTGCGGAATTGCAGCAAAAGTGACAGATTCTCGTTTAAATGTGTTCAAGGGATTTATTTTCATTTTTGAATTTTCTTCAACATAGTGAGAGGTTCCACCCTGTATATACAACTTACGACGATACATACATTTTTGAGAGTTGGCAACCATGCAATTTCTAGGTGGGAAAAAGCAAGAACGGCTCGCGACAGTAATCACTTGGCTGCTACGCACATGCGCAGAACGGTATTTCTTTATTCACATTTCTAAATTTAAATTTAAAGTTTTGTGCATTAATGGGAAGGTGTAATACGCATGTGCGTAGCAGCCAAGTGATTACTGTCGCGAGACGAACGGGAAAAAGCTGCCTGCGCCATCTAAAAATCACGGACAGGGGTTACGTTTGGCATCTTGTCTTGAATGGCGGTGGTGAACGCGTCACTCCATAAATGTTTGTTGTTATTTTGTGTTATTTAATGCAGGTAATAATCTTTGCATTTCTTTATATCGTATTTGTGTTTTGTATGCCACATTTTATATTTTTTGTGTGTTCGAATCTTTGTTTTTGAAATTTACTTGGTTTAACCGCAATGCAGAATCACATATGTGATACCGTTATGCTATTGTTTGTAATTGTGTACGTTTTTGGTGTAACGCTTGCTTAATTTATGTTTGTTGATGTTGATTACTTGGTCTTGTCCCTGAAGTAACATTCATATAAGTTTTGATCATTTTATTTTAATATGTGGAAATTACCGATTCGTTTGATGTATGTACTGACTTGTTGTTTGTTACTAACATTTTTCGCCGTGAATGAAGCAGTAAATGGGGTGGTAAAAACTGTAGTCAAAATTGAGCTATGACACTTAATTCCGTGATTGTCTTCGACATTCAACTGTACGCTTGAAACCCCGAAACCAGAGGCGGGCTACCTATATTGCAGGAGCGGGATTACGCTAATCAAAGCTCTTCAGTTTAGAATCTATGTGCGATAAATGAGTGGCGATTCAATAATTTCCACATATCTTGTTTTTAGTTAAATTTGCCTACAAGGCCATGTAATTTTCTAACTTGCTCTTAACAAAAGGACTTTATTGCACCAAAGATGAGTCACATTCTGTGTATTTCACCCTATCTTAGAATCTTGGTACCTGCTTACCTGACCCATAATTCCCAAAACTTGTTTTTAACCTATTTGTTACCTCTTGAAGTTTACCTGCTACTTTTTGTGATGTTATAATTTTATGTTACGCATTCACATCATTACCAACAATTTAGTTTACAACACAATTTGATACTAATTTGACGGCTGGTTTTTTTATTGGTAAGTTCTTTTTTTTTCCCAGCCAATTTCTATTTTTATTCGTTGAACTATCATTTTCAAAGTTTATTTTTGCAATGTAATTTATTTCGACTTAAATTTCCGAGCTTTCACAATCTTAATAATTGCGATCACTATTAAACAAACTTTTCACAATTTCAGTGTTTTAATTTTACGTTCCTTCCCCTACTGTGCTTCAGGTCAAAGCGTTGTCTACTACTAACGTAAGGGGGAACTGCCTTAGATGTCTTATCATGTGCCACTTTTCAAGTTTAAGCGGGAACTTGTTTAGTTTTGGAGGGAATAGTCATTCGGGTGGCCATCTTTAAACGTTGCCGGGTTGTCTTTATTTCCGTGTTCTTGTAGTGTGAAGTTAGTGTAGAACCTGGGGGTTAAGTACACTACAAACGTCAAGTTAAGATTATTTAAGTTCAAGAAATATTCTCTCGAATAGTAAAGAGAAGCAAATGCAAATGTAATTTGTTTGTGCACCCAAAACATGACCGCCTACTTCATTGGGGTAAGGTTTGCAGCAGCAACCGTAGGTACATATTGTAAATACAGACGTATACAGGGTGGCGACTTGCGTAACGCATCATAGGGATTTCAATGTAATATTCATAACTTGCGAATATTGGCTCCCCAAATTATTTTAGAGCAAAAATGTATTAAGGTTTTTTGTAGAAAAAATTTTGTTACGCCAATCAACCGTATTAGTTTTCCATTTTTTTCATATAAAGACGGAAAATTGGAAAAACACAACCCGAATTTTTTTCAATAATCTGCGATGCCATGGAATTTTCTAAAACAAAAAGATATCCAGTTATCAATTACATAGCAGCAGTTCGAAATGGATTTTATGATCGACTTGGTTACTGTATTGCAGCTAATGGTGACTTGTTATATTAGGAAACCGTTTTTAGTAATTTGGTCTTTCTTTATGTTGAATTCGCTGTTCTAAATATAATACTTTTTGATAGAATTTGATTTGTTTTATAGCAGACATTCCATGGCATGACGGATATTGGCGTAATTTTTGTATTATAAAATTCCATGGCATCACAGATTATTGAAAAAGATGGGGGTTTTATTTTTCCAATGTTCCGTTTTTATTATGCAAAAAATTGAAAATTAATACGGTTGATTGACGTAAAAAATTTTTTTCTACAAAAAGCTTTAATACATTTTTGCTCTAAAATAATTTGGGGAGCCAATAATCGCATGTTATGAATTTTACATTGAAATCCCTATGATGCGTTACGCAAGTCACCACCTTGTAATAAACAAGTACACATTGTGCACGACACGACAAATGAAACGATACGTTATAAATTCATGCATATATTTTCTGTTCATATAATATTATACAATAACTACAATGGGGGTACGCCACTGGTAAAAAAAAGTAAACAGCTGACAAAACAAAAACAGTTTTTGTGCACCGAGAATATGGCCGCCAAGCGAAAATGTGCCTCAAGGCGTAGCTGTCAGTCCCCTTTGTAGTTTAAGATGCCGCCACTCTGTTACTGAGGGTTGATAAGTTTACCAAAAAAGGTCAAGTGCGATCAGAATTGCAAAACGACCGCTGTTATAGTGTTGTTGTACTTGTGTGAAATGTCCTCAACGATGAAAGTGGAAGTTAAACAAGAAGACAACATAAATACGTCCGTTAATGAGAAAGTTTTACTTAACGATGATGTCTCCGGAATGATAAAGCAAGAACTCAATGAAAATGAGTTCAAGCAAGAAAATGAATTTTTGATTGCACATTCTAAAGACTTCCCATGTGTTAACCGATCGAAAATTTCGCCAGATTTTAATTGTACACGGAGTAATTACACAAGCAAAAAGAAATGCAATTTAATACGAACCACTAAGGCTGTTAAAGGTTTCAAATGTGGTCATTGTGATTACGCAACAAATAAGAAATTCCATCTTAATCGACATCTATTGATCCACAAGACATTCAAGAATTTTAAATGTGCCCATTGTGATTACGCAACCAGTGATAAGTCCTATCTTAAAAGACACCTATTAAGGCACAAGACAATCAAGGATTTCAAATGTGCTAATTGTGATTATGCAACCACTAATAAGGACTGTTTAAAAATACATCTGCTTACACATAAGCCTTCCAAGGATTTCAAGTGTGTCCAGTGCGATTATGCAACCAATTATAAATCAAGTTTTAACTCGCATACTCGCTCGCATATCTCGTCATATAACATAAGAACTCGCAAGAGAACCATGGAGTTTAGATGCGGTGAGTGTGATCACGTGACCACTACTAAGTATTACTTAAAAAGACATCTGCTGGTACATAAACCTTCCAAGGATTTTAAATGTTCCGAGTGTAATTACGCAACAAACATTTTACGAAATTTTAAAACACATCGTCTAAGACACCGGGATTCAAAAATTTTCAAATGTGCCGAATGTAATTGTGTAACCAATCATAAATCTTTTAAATCGCATCTACTAACGCACAAGACAACTAGGCTTTTCAAATGTGCCCATTGTGATTACGTAACCGCTACTAAGTGCCAATTAAAAAATCATCTAGTCTCGCATAACCCTTTCAAGAATTTGAAATGTGCCCAGTGCGATTTCGCAACAAATTATAAATACAATTTTAAGGTGCATCTGCAAAGACATAACAAATCCAAACATTTAAATTGTGCTCACTGTGATTACGCAACGAACTGTAAGTTACTATTGAAAAAACATCTGTTGAAACACAAGACTATTTGGGGGATGTGGTCACGTGACAAATAATCAAGAGCACATTAAGTGTAAGTTTATTGGATTCTATGGGATAAGTGCACATAACGTGTCAAATGTGTGTAAAAAAACTCATTTGGACGTTGTGCATCTGAGGGCGGTAACAAAAAACCAGACCAATTGCAGTGGAATTGCGATTGATTAAACTTTTACTTCACCTATAAGTTGATTTAATATCTTTCACTTTTGATAATTGCCTAATGATAGTGTATAAAATAGATATAGCACACGCATAAATGCCCGTTCTTGTCTTACTTTCCAAACCCTGTAGACTTATCACTTTTGACATAATTTGTGAAAGCGAAACTTGGCTCAACTCTTCCATTTTGGATAAGTGATCCATTGTGCAGTTATGGCTCAAGATCAAGCATTGTGGTAAGACATTAGGAATTTGAGTAGTCTTGACTGCAGTGAACTATACCAGGCAATGGCGATGTCAATTGAGAACCTCCGCCATGTTGTGGCAAATTCAAACATAGAAACCTTGATTATAATGTGTGTATAATTAATGATAGAAGGTATAATGATAATGAGTTAAAAGAAATTGCCACTGGAATACTTTAATAACTGAAGATATACATCTTGAAATTAGATCAAAACTCGTATGCATGTTGTGGGATCAAGTTAGTAACCTTTAATTTTACTAGTCATATGAAACTAATTGATTTACGCATAATCTGGTGAAACGGCAATTCGAACACTCAACATTGTACTGATCTTAACCCAACCCCAGGCTCGCAGTGAAGATGACAGATTTCACGGCAAAGTGGCAACGTTGCAATCCCAGTATCAAAACACGGTTCCCGCTCAAAATTCAAACAAAAGAATGGCAAGTGATCCGATCGTCTAAGGTAAGGCCCCCTTACGTTACACGAAGCTAACACAATGACTCGGGACCCAGTCGGGCAGGAACATTCAAATAAAACGCTGTAATGTCTGCGAGTTTATTTATTATAAACTTATTCTGAAAACCCGGGAATTTGGATGTTGTAGATTAAAAGCAAACCAAGCAAAGCCTAAAGGTGTCGCACTCTCGCAAAAGCAGACTACCAAGGAGAAAAAGAGCGCGACTTGAGAAAAAACCTTGGCCTTGAATAAAACCCAAACTATGCTAATCACAAGCAAATTAAAACACCAACCACCTAAGCAGAACACGTAACACTGCCTTAATTAATGAATGCATTCAAGTAGCAGGGTACGTTTGAACAGTATGCGTGGAGTATTCGTCACAACATGTCATGTACTTTCCTTTAATCGCGGCTAGAAGGCAACTCACGTTTTAGTTAGTCATTGGGTGGTGGACCTGGTTATTCGTTAGGTTTGGGCCAGCGTCTTCGCTTGATTGCCCTCCTGTTTCACGGTTATATTGTTAGGGATTGGGCTGGCATATTTGCCTATTAACCTGTAGCGCAGTTAAGATTGTTAGGGGCAACACATTCATGCATTTATTGATATAAGTCACCTTACTAGTTATTCATATCATTGTATACCGAATAGAGTGGTGTGAAGTTCGTAAAAACATGTCTGATCTATTATTCATGTTGTGACGTAACAATAGGCAGTTATGACAATACACAGTGTGTTCGTGGACCCCCAATTATGCTCAGTTTCCACATAATGACATTGGTATAAACCCCAGACTTCCGGAACTACTTACCTGTGCTTGGTAACACTCACCTGAGCTGACATCGGCCACGTAACGATACAAAACTGAAGATGGTTAAGAGATGGGTCGCCGCCCATGGATAGGACGGCCTTCGGTTAGCAGCACTTCGTCCCTAAAGTTGGAGGTTCGAGGGCCATCGGATCCTTTCGTGCCTTAGCTCTACAATACCTTTCTATTCTAGCGTCCGAGCTCCCTCTCACGGTAGGAAGATATGAGTTACTTACAACAAGGCACACACATTCGCGAATGTTACGGGTCACCCTAAACTAAATACACCTAGCATTGCATGCCCTACTTTACGGAAGTCGAGGTTCTACATAGGTACACCCCCGTGCACCGTGTAACTGAGTTAAACGTGGTCTAAACCTGAGATATCGTAGACTTCCACAAGCACATGGATATTAGTTAACACCTCGCATGTTGTAAATTACATATTAGCACAATGGTAGATGGAAAATATCTGATATAACAAATGGCACAATTCATATAAGTACATAAGAGTAAACTACATAAAATACTTTACCCGACACCAAAGTGGTTGAATCTTACGCACAAACACAAAAACATAGCTAAACTCTATGAGTACAACTCAAAAAGCAATAATCCCACCACCAACAAGCTTTAACAATCAACAAGTGACGCCAAGCCCCCAAATCCCAAAGATCCTCCGGAAATTACGAAAAAATATCGACTGGGGTGATGGCGCTGGCTCATGTCATCAGAATCTCCAACTACTTGATCGGTTGCATCCGTCGTTGAAATATACAGGGTATTTAAAGGGATGTAGGCATCTCAACGCCAACTTCAAACTTTAAAATCGACTCGGCAACGTTTAAAAATGGTCGTCGATACTCTTCACGTCTCTCTCACTTAATCCTATAAAAAAAATAGGAACCCAAACCACTTTAGATTGTGTTTGTTGTGGTATTATTCCAGGGGTAAGGGGTATTCATATCAATCCCGAAGGTTATGTGTTAACACTGTTAACTTCGTATTCATAAATTCATTGTAGCAAAAGGGTTCAGCAATGATGGCAGACACACATGATACAATTTCAATGTACTGTGACTCGACACTAGTTAAAGTTGAGCCGGAACAACTAGAAGAGATAAATTCATCACTTGAGGCAAAACATTGTGTAGGCAATGAAGTTTTAGTAACAATTAAGGAAGAACGAGGTAGAACCACCGCAGTATCGAGCGAAGAATGTTCAGTATATGAAGTTCCGCAAACTAAAAATTTTAAATGTGACAGTTGTAAGTACGTTACAAGTATGAAGTGTAATTTAACACGTCATCTGTTAATCCATAAGTCGGATAAAAAGTTTAAATGTCGCAATTGTGATTATGCAACATACAATAAACAATATTTAAAACGGCATACTTCGACTCATGAAATGGTTAAACAATTTAAATGCTGTATTTGTGACTATGCGGCAAATCATAAAAGTCTTTTAAAGCTACATTTCTTAAAACACAAAGACACCAAAGATTTTAAATGTGACAATTGTGATTACGCCACGAACAATAAGCAACAATTAAAACGCCATCTTTTAAAATATGACTTCGCTAAGCAATTCGAATGTGATATTTGTAATTATACAACTAATGTTAATCGAAATTTTAAAACACATCTCTTATCGCATAAAGTTAACAAAGATTTTAAATGCACCAATTGCGATTATGCAACAAACGTTAAACACTCTTTAAAAAGCCACCTTTTAACACATAAAAATACGAAGGAGTTTAAATGTGGCATTTGTAACTATGCAACGAACTATAGACAAGTTTTAAAACGACATCTTTTAACACATAAAATGACTAAACAATTTAAATGTGACAATTGTGAATATTTGACAAATAACAAACATCTTTTAAAGCAACACTTCTTAACTCACAAAGCCACCAAAGACTTTGAATGTGGCCAGTGTGATTTTGCGACTAATAATAAATATATTTTTAAAGCACACCTTTCCATGCACACCGTGACTGAATGTCTAAAATGTGACGTTTGCGATTTTTCAACTCGCAACAAATACTACTTGAATGAACACCTCTTAGCACACAAACTTGCCGCACAGTTTAAGTGTGCCAGCTGTGATTATACAACCAAAATGAAAAGGCACTTAATACAACATCTGGTCGTGCATAAAGTGAAAGATTTAAAATGTGCCAATTGTGAATATACGACGAGTACCATGTCTTGTTTGAAACGACACCTCTGGAAGCATAAGGTTGTCAAAGATTTTAAATGTGACCATTGTACTTATGCCACAGTGAATAAGTATAGCTTGAAACGACATCTCTCCACCCACAATGTTTTGAAAGATTTTGTATGTGATCATTGTGAATATACAACAAAAAGTGCACCCTACTTTAAACGACACCTCTTGATACACAAATTTGCTTAAAATTTGAATTTGAATATGGTGCTACTACTTTTAGTGACTGAACTAGGTTGCAGATAGTACATTTTAATAAATAAGTATTTAGGATTAGTGTAGTAACTCAACAGTGTTCTTTTTGTTAAGATTACTACAATAGATAAATAGTATATTATACAGGGTGTCAATTTTAAAACTCAGTGGGGCATATTTTCCAAACTAAAGAAGATATTGAAAATCGCGCAAAACCGTTTCGTGGGTATTGAGGGGTGGGGGGCTGGGGGGTTGTCACTCATAACGTCATTCTGGTTCCCCCGAATCGGTTTTGCGAGTTTTTCAATATCTTCTTAGTTTGGAAAGTATGGCCACCTGCGTTTTAAAATTGACACCCTGTATATATTACTATAATACATACTCGTATTGTATGTCTCTATCATTGAGTTAGAAAACTAATGGAGGGAATATAATGGTAGAGGGGGTAAGAATTTTTGTAGACGGAAGTTGCCACAGATAGAGGCCACTCGCGTGGATAGGTTCCCGTGAAGGTACATTTTGGCCAACATTATTTGACATATGAAAACGCGGGTCCTGTCACTGTCAGTTTTCCACCAAATTCAAATTTTATTAAATTTGCCATTTTAAAGTACCTAATAATTTCGGATCGGTTTGTGCTCTGGTTTATATAAGAACTAACTGCCGCATAGTGTTTTTATCACACGCAATTTTGTGAATTGAGAATGATTAGCTGCGTATCATGCAAAATTTCTCATAAAGGGAAGAAACAGGGCATTTCCTTTCATCGGTAACACATGTCATTTATCATGTTGTAGGCACCTATAGTTTATGTTTCTTAGTTTTCCAAACGAACCAGTACTTCGAACAAAATGGTTACCTAACATTTGTAAATATATCTCAAGAACAGCTCTCGAAATTTACTTTTGTGCTCACAACGCTTCATTGACTGTGATTTGGATTTCGACCAAAGGTTGCACTGGAAAATGTTCATCAAATATCTCGTCAAATATGCAGTAGGTACTATCAAAACTTGTAATGAACCTGAGACCAACCAATCAATTGTAGCTATTGATCAACACAGTGAATTTAATGGGAGTTGTCAAGTTGTAGTGGCTATAGTAAACTGGCCTTAATTATACTACTGGAACATATCGATGTATATTTAGATTTGTAATCAATGATTATATTAAATCTGCATACTTTCCCATCCTTGTCTATTTTGTTTACTTTACCACGAGCATGTATTTTACTCCTTCTATACTTTTTTTTTGTTATTATTCCTATTAGTGGAAAGAAAATTATATCTCTACGCCACTGAAGTGAGACGCTAATGATAACGGAAGTGGTGTGGTACTTTAATCACAGTTAGAGGCCACTTTTGGTTCCCGTGGTCTACGTCTGGCCAAGCATTTGATTCCCTCCAGTTTTCTTACTCAATGGTCTGTATGTATCTTGAACTTGATCAAATGTAAAATAAAACCAGTTCGGTAGACTACAGGGTTAGGAGGATCGGAACCGCTGCATTTAGTAATTCTGTTGTTAAATTCTTTATATTACATTCTTCTATGTAATCACTGGAAGTGTCTCCATTACCTATACCGATGCTTGACTATAGTACACTTATGTGCAACAAAACGAGCCTGTTTCTTATGTGAGAAATGATGCTTTTCCGCGTCGACTGTCGCGTAGTGTAACGGTTTCACTTAATTTTATGTAAAATTTAAATATTTTTGCCGCTTTAATTCAAATTTATTACCAAAAGGATAAACAAAGTCAAGGTAACAGGATGATGAGGGTCATCTCTGATAGCAAAAGATGACCAGCCATTTGCCATTAGATTTTTGAATGGTCAAGTTATTCAGCTGAATGCATCTTAAGATTGTTAATTAAATAATTCTAAAGAAGAGCAAAATAATAAAGTTAATAAAACAATTTGTAATAATACGTGAGTATTTTCTTTCTGTAATGACGTATTCATATTTAATTATAATTTTCAGATCTATATGATAGGTGCCTCATGGCTACCCTAAATTAATTATTTAATCTTATACTATATATTTGGAACCCAGTTCATCCTGGTAATGCATTAAATTAATCTGTAGCTGCTTGGAGCTAATTTTTAATATTTCAGGGTTCTTTTAAGTAATTATATAATTTCTATCGAAATATTAGAGTTGCCCTAGAATTGGCACTCGTAAGGAAATCAACATCTAACGTAGCAGTCAAAATAAATCTATCCTATTCCAACTCCAGCAGCAGCTCCAGTCGTCAAGGTCTTCAACCGTCTTCCGAAGTAAACCGTCTAGAAAAAGGTCAGACTGTATCGTACACTTACAATCATATACAAACATAACACCATAAAATTGTACTTACCAATAAGGTATCCGAATTCTGTAAGAGATCTCCGCGACAGGTCACACCTCCATCTCACACGATCAGTCGGACAACTAAAATCAAATATTGAGATATTAACGTTTGATAATTTTGAATAAAATTAAACTTACCCTCACGTTGTTCATAATTTAATGGTCAAATTACCAGAACGGGCTAGTTAACGTCACGACCCTGAGAGTACCTTCCGCGCATAACCCTGGCGCCCTTATATCATTCATGCTCTACCATCAGCCGAGCGCAACAGGGTATCGGTTCAAATGTATCCGCCATTACATTAAGACAACAAAACCGTTTTCACTTACCCGGTAGCAGTAGTAACAAAAGTAGTCACGGGCGGCGCATGAGTCGAGGAATGTTTTCCGGCAAGTGGCAACTGTCATGGCTGACTTGTAGTCCCAGCGGTCTTGTTGAGCTCAAGAAGGACGCTTTCTGCCAATCTGTAACAGACAAAAACACAAACGAACAAACAGAAGGGGTAGTGAATAGCGCCGCAGATCAAATATTGCGTAAGCAATGCTAACGTCAGGTACTTGTATACTAAACCGTAATTAATACTCAATAAGAATCAAAAAATCAACTTGAATTAACCAACCAATAATAAAATTTTGACTCGACCACCTATTACTCGTACAAGCAGTAATACACCATTAAATTCAAGAAAACTACAGCAAACCGAAATGAAGTTTCGTAGTCACAAAATCGGGCCTCGGCAGTTGTATTTTTCGTAGCGACACAGGTAGTAAAATCAGATATTTCGGAGCAATTACCGGATCGTTAATTTCCAAACGATTTGTTATTTATTTATTTATTTATTTACGTTCCTGTTTGGGTGCAAAGCACTTACAGTTGTCAAAACAAAAAAGGTTTACATGTGAAAGTGTATATAACATTACAAGTTAAAAATAAAACAAACAGACAAACAGTAATAGGTACATTAACACTAAAGCACACTACCAACTTACATCTGACATGTTTGTAAGTTTCACATGATCCACAAATTCCTCCAGGGTGTAAAAAGAAACTTGTTAAACTCTTGCGGTTACCATTCCACGAGCAATATAACTTTGGGTAGATAGTAATGGTGGTGGAATAAAGTAGATTCACATGGTTAATGTAGGTAAAATTTCCCAAGTCGGTAATTTAAAAACAGCCATTGCGTAACGCGCGCCAATGTCAATTCTAATTTGTTATTCTCTTGGCGTTTCAAGTGAATTTTCCTTTTTCGCATTTTGTTGTCGTTAGTTGATCTATTTCATGTATTTGTGTCAGCTATGCCGGGGTTTTTGTTCCGTAGATGGTTTCTGCATTTTATTGAATTCTCTTCCCGATTATCTCTCACGTCCCAATACATAAAAGAACCGATTACACAACGTAGGAACTTGCATCTGTGCCTTGACTGCTACCGTCGACGTTCGATGTTTCGACTTGAAAGTTAGGTGATTCTGTTCGTAATTGTGTACGCTATTACATAGCGATTTGATACAGTGTGTATATTTTACATTAGATCATACGATTTTGCCTGCAATTGTGTTTCCCTATGTTCGATTAAAAAAACGCAGCCACCTATAGGACATGTGCCCTGTACACACGTATTGGATAATGTACGAGCAATGAATAAAAAATACGCGAAAAGTTGGCACTACCCTACCACTTTGTGTATCCTTAACATTACAGGTTAGGGCTGCAGCTAGCGGCTAAGTTCATATATGGAAACAGTCTTAAACTTACAAATAACCTAATGTCCAACTCCGCTGATTTAGGTATGCATTTGTGTGAAAAAAAAATTTCCATGCCATAGAATCGAACCCGAGCCGCACGGGCGCAAGCCGAATCTTCTAGTCACTAAACTATTCTGGGCTACAATACATCTTGACTGAACTGAGTTCTCATTTTGAAAAGGGTGAGAGGAAAGGGCACCTAACAAACGCATCCCCAGCGTTACCTACTGCCGTATCACCTAATGGTACGTGAAAGCTTAGTCTGATCGCAATTCGTTCGGAATTGTGAGGAACACACCTATCTTTCCCAAGGAAAATCCGCTGTTAGATATACAACGCGTTTCAATAGACCATCAGCAAACAACGAGAGGCTCAGGATTTTCCCAAAGACTTGAAATGAAAAAAGCAAGAAGACCTCCCTTTTCGGTTTTTGTATGATGTTCTGAATCTTTCGGTGGAGTGTGTACACATCTACCCTTGAAAATGGCGAGTACGAAAGTACGAAAGGGACTGATTACTGAAGTAGTAGTCTTAATTCCTCAGGTAAATTATGGCCCTCCCTGCGGTCGGGCCATAAACTTTACCTTCGGGATTAAAAGTGCCACTTCAATCCCGCGGTATATAATATACTATTAATGTACTTTTGTAGAAATAAAAAATGAAGCCGGGATGTCACATTAATTGTCTCGTTGTCACATAGATGGCGACACTGCTTACACACTAATTTCACCTACTGCGAATACTTCTTTTATGAAAAGTTGTAATGAATAATTGGAGGTTGGGAAAGAAGCTTTACGCTTATGTAAATATGAAAGCACATAGACGCAATGTGTGTAAATTCAGACGGCGGTGGATATGTAACAGCCAATATAAGACTGATTGATGTGATGTACTAACCACTTTCACTAAGCCTTGCCGTGGGGCATGCGGTGTGCTCGACAGGCCGTTATTTCCCATTGTGGGAAAGAAAGGGCTATATAACAGCAGGGTTGAATCTATTTGTCTTTCCTTTTATGAAAAACAGTGGTTGCATATGCCTTTAAGGTAAGTCCAATATCATACACTTAGAAATGCTCTACATGCTATAAATGTGATTTTCGAATTTAAACACTAAATATTATTATTATTATTATTACATAGGTAAATAATGGCAGACAATGATGACTTAGTACTTGTTAAAGTCGAACCGACACAAGAAGAAGACATAAACACATCTCTCCAAGAAACTATTCTCGTAAACAACCAAATTTTGGCGGAAGATTCTGAATTAAGATATGACGGAGATGTCCGGCAACAGTCGACGAGTAGTAAACCTCACACTTGTGAATTGTGTCCGTACGCAACAAGTTTGAAATCGAGCCTTAAGGAACACTTATTAACTCACAAAACTTTTAAAGATATTAAATGTGCCGATTGTGATTATGTAACACATTCGAACGTGCTTTTAAAACATCATCGCACACTACATAATGATGCTAGAGACTTTCAGTGTGCAAGTTGTGATTACGCGACAAGTGTTAAAAAACGTTTAAGAGATCACGTTGTACTGCACAAAGTTACTAAAGACTTTAAATGTGGGTACTGCAATTATGCAGGACGGCGTAGAGGGTCTTTACGTAACACACCTCTTAAGACATACGGCTGCACATCTTAAATGCTACCATTCGAACGATTACGCAACACACACTAAGGGTCTTTTAAAAAGGCACCTTTTAAGGCATGGAGGTAAAGGTTTTAAATGTACACACTGTACATATGCATCACACGATAGAGCCAATTTTACATGTCATGTCTTAAGCCATAGGGCTACAAAAGATTTTAAATGTGTACTTTGTAATTTTGCAACGCATGCTGAAAGTTATTTAAAAAAACACCTCAAAAAACACAAACCTGTTCAAGATTTTCAATGTGTCCACTGCGATTATGTAACACATACGAAACAGCTTTTCACATTACACATAAAACGGCATTTACCAACTGAGGAAGCGGCAGCCGCTAAACCTTTTAAATGCGGTTATTGTAATCACGCAACTTACCACAGATCTCAATTAAAAGATCACCTAAGAACGCACATGGTTGTTAAAGAATTTAAATGCGACAATTGTACTTTTACAACAAATTATAAACGTAGACTTGAAAAACACTCCCTAAAACACAAAGGTGTTAAAGATTTCAAATGTACGCATTGCGATTATGCAACGTATAACCCGGTTTATTTAAAGCAGCATCTTTTAGTACATAAAGTTGATAAAGAATTTAAATGTGGCACTTGTAATTACGCAACAAGTGCTAAACATCTTTTCAAAAGGCACATTGTGAAACATACAACTAAAATAGTTACTAAACATTTTAAATGTGCCCATTGTGATTATCAAACGCATATTAAATCTCGTCTGACGAGACATTTTTTAACGCATAAATTTGTTAACGATGTAAAATGTCCCCATTGCGATTATGCTACAAAAGATGAAATATATTTAAAAGTACACCTCTTACAACATAAAGCTACGAAAGAGCTTAAATGTAACATGTGCGCTTATGAAACAAATAATAAACAGTGTTTCAAACAACATCTTATAAAAATCCATTTTTTATAAGCATGTTTAATAATAATATAAATATTAAACATGCTTATAAAACATGTTTAATAATAATAAACAGTGTTTCAAACAACATCTAAAAATTCCATTTATGTAATGTATAGGTATTGATAGGTAATACAATATTTACAACCTTTTTATGTTAAATAGGCAATGATTGTATTTTTATTAAATAGGTACATTAAATTTCTTTCTTAATTAATCATTGTACTATCAGCAAGTGACAAAGGATTCTTGTAGCCAATAGTAGATAGAAGTTCCGCGCGTAAGCATCCACTTCTGACGCGTCGTTTTTAAGAGTGGTACCAGCAAAATGCAACATATGAGGCCTATACGGATCTATAACGGTGAAAAACCAGTTATTTGTGGGTAGTCTTCGATTATTTCAGTAAATGTGTATCATTTCCATGAAAAGATAGTTTGATTCGCAAGTAAAAAACACGCTTTCTGCTAATACCGGAATCACCTAAGACTTCTCGTCATATGCAACTTTTTTACATTTACGTTTTGCTTTAGATTTTGATATGTGTTTATTGAAATTATGACGGATTTATGTATTTTTTGCATTTGTTTGCCAGGTTTTTTCTTTGCTATTTTTGTATATAGGTTTTGTAAGAGATGTTTGAGGGCAACCGTGCTTTTGTATGATTTTATGTAAAAGTGACAACACTGTTTTCTATATGTTACGAAGTTAGGCATGTAGATAAGTTCAGTCTGTTCAGTCATATGAAAAATGAGATGGCGTCATATTGTACCCATATATATATAATATATGATTGTACCATGATGGTGTCAATGACATTGTTTCCATAGTAGTTTTAATATAGTTATTTACGTTATAAGTCCGGTAGGTTACTTGTAACAGTACGAGTTAGACATTATGGACGAGGCGACGTCAGGAGCCGAGTCAAGAATGTCTTAAACGAGTACTGTTACAAGTACTACCGGACGTATATCGTAACGTATTTTTTCTACTCCTATGTTGTAAACATACCCAAAATGTCACCCTGTACTGCACGTCTAAATCGTTCATTATATCATACGGTTGCATAATGAAAATTAGAACTGTTACTTAATATATATATACGTAACAGGTTAAAGGTCAAACGCGAAATGTTAATTTAGTAGGTTGTCAGCCCTGCCTAATGAATGAAGTAACGTCAGATTTTGTTGTTGTAGGTTATGTTTCACATTTTGCAAACTTCTTTGAACAGAATTACTCATAATTTGTTTAAACATTGCCATTTGTATGGGAATGGAGCCTGTATGTAATTTATTAGCCGTGCCCAATTATTTTTCATAATCGCAATGGGCTACTCAAGAATGGTTTGAAGCTGCGTTTAGTTAATTAAGCAAACTCTGTTGTACTATTTTGTATTTTAGAAAACTACAATAAGTAAAATTAATGGATGGTGCTAATTACGACTTGCATGGAACACGGAATAATGCAGAATACTGGGTAGTCCGATGCTTCCTTCCCGGGAAAACTCGTTAAAAGACGCAGCGTTTTGAAGGCCTTAGTATTATCGATAGTTAGGTACCTAATACATTGGCAACTACAACAATAGAAATCGTTCAAAACTGTAATGAAAAAGAGCACTAACACCACCTGAGCTAGTTAGTATTTCAACTTCAACACTTGTATCTTGTATCTTTTTTGCCTATGGTGCTAAAATGAAACTCACATTGCAGTAAGGAATAGGGATGTCAAAACCCTGCAATACACTTTCCAATCTAAGTAAAAAGTATTTATAAAATTCTTGCTCGCTGGCGTGCATTCATGGAATATAAGTGAGGTTACGTTGTATTTTGTATTCCTTTTAAATAGACCATGACATTTGACACTTGACAGTTCTAATTTTTAGTTCGAATATTTAGAACCAAATCAATCATAATCTATCAATCTTTTATCAAATATATTCAAGTCGTAGAAAAAGTATAGTACATAATTCGAGTGCTAATGCCTATTACGCACTCGATTTTATTACAACACTCGCTCGCTGCGCTCGCTCGTGTCGCAAAATACTCGTGCGAAATAGGCTTCTTAGCACACTTATTATGCAATATACTATTATTTCATACTGTAAGTCTGTTTTGTATCATTATTTCATTTCAAAGATTACAAAATTTCATCATATTGTAAAAATCGCATTACCTTGTTTCTGTGACAACGGCCGTTGCTATAGTTTGTAGTTTGTTGACAATTGAATTTTTTTCACTGAAAAATTGACGTTGTGGGATGTTCCAATGTTCCCGATACAATCCTGTCGAAATCTCATGAAGCAACCGAAAAGTTGGTTCCTAAGAAGTCGGCCGCAAGGTATGAAAAAGAGTACTAAGTGTTTTGTCAATTGAGGAACGAACATGGGGCGAAACAAGTAGAGGAAAAAGTCATGTTGGCATACTTTTTGGACGCAGTAAGTTTTTGAATTGAGATTTTTTTGCCTGGGTTTCGGTGTTAAAGCGTCATGGAGCATGCTCATCGACGGCAGAAAAATACATCGAAGGCTCGGTAGAAGGAAAAGTTAAGATTGCCCGTATGATACAACTGATACAAGGCGGCGAAAATTTCATTGAAGTTTTACAGCAGAAGGAATCAAACATTACTACTTAACTCGACATTCAGTAATAACCCAGGCGTAGTGTTGAGGGCAATACAAATTGTTTCATTACAATCAATGTTAATGTTTGAAATAAAGAATTACAGCCAAATTTATGTTGGGGTTTTTAATTAATTGTGTGAAGATGTCAAATTTGATGTATACAAATAACAGTCCGGTAAGTGTTGCTTAGCGACACTTACCGGCTCGGATGCTGTAATAACTCACCTACCGGACTCAAAATGATAGTGTAATCGAACATCTACCGGACAGTATGAAATAAAAGTAGTTAAGTATTTTGTGAGTGTTTGTTGTAGGAGAGATAACAGTTTCGATTTTTGTGTGCTTCGCCCCGTGTGTAATAAATTTCATTTTTCGTAACACGTCGGACGCACTGTTCCGTTCCCGATGGTATCTCACCTCCCATCACATAGAAGAACCGATTATAGAATAACGCAACGTGAGACCACTACGCGTACCCCCTATCAACATATAGAAATGTTCTGCGCGTAACAATGCGAAGCGCGGATATTGCAGGTGAGAGAGAAGGGAAAAGTAAGAGGCAAGCTCTCTCCCACGGTTACGCATGCGATGTACCGAAACTCTTTTTCCCTCCTCACTGACGTGAGATGTTGCCACTTTTAATTTTTCACTCCAACTGTAAGCATAGGATAAGTCAACATTTCAGTGCCAGACACCAATATTGTAAACATTCAATAGATTTAAAATGTACCACTTACATTTAAAATGCATCATGAATATTCAAGGCCCATATTCCATTCATATAAAAGACTGATATTGTTAAAGTTGCAGATAACACAATGTTGCATTGTTTTTGAAGGTTGTATTTTCCTTAGATCAGATACAGTGTGTTCCAGTTAGGTTAGGGAAACTGTGTGATAATCCACGTTTATGGTTACATCTGAAACAAAAATATGATATGCTCTGTGTATAACCAATCGATCGTTTTGCGCGAATACTAGGTGATTTTCGTAGCGAAGCTAGGGGAGAATGAAAGAAGATGGCGACAAGGTCGACGGAAGGCATCACGCGTTCCCGGTTTTTATTCTTGATTATTTTGGTTGTGGTATTTTGAAGGTGTAACCATTTTATTCTCTCTTATAATAACTATTAATCATTGAATTTCTTGTCACAATATGATATTATATTATTCATAATCATAATATGATATTATATTATTCAACCTGTCTCCGTGGAGTAGCTAATACAGTTCGATCGTTCGCTGTATCTGTTGCCTACTCGTCTAGTGCGGATTGCAGTTCTGAGCATCTTAGCAATGCGAGATATTTAGGGGCCCTCTCATTAACATTTCCTCTATTTAAAATATGTTCTGCTTGAACGATAATCGATTCTCACATGAGTACTTGCTATTGGCATTCTCACATGTACTGTTCGTGTTAAATTAATTTATGTTAACTGAAGGCTGGAGTAGAGCCACAACATTTACATGTTTCCTATGTACATGCCATTTATTATTTTACGAGTTGTATTATCTCAATTGATTGTATAGGTATTTGGTGTGTGTTTTTGTACTGAATTGATTTAATCATGTTTTTCACTGAATTTATTATGTTTTGTGTATTTTGTTTTTATGAACTTGTTTAATTGATTTGATTATCTGATTTTTATCATACAATTTGAGATATTTTATTATTGTGTATTTTCTCTTGCATTTTATTGCTGTAGGTGTGTATTTGTGTGGCCTATGCCGGGGTTTTTGTCCCGTAGAAGGTTTCCCTGGCATGGTCTTGTTGTGTGAGTAATATATTTATTTGTTTTTGTCATATCCTACGCACAAAAGTTCGGTCTTTTATTTAATTCCCTTCTCGATTATGTCTCACGTCCCAACACGTACAAGAAGCGATTACACAACGTAGGAGTCCATTCGAGCCGACTGCCATCCAAATTCATAAGTGCCGCGAAACGTCCATCGTGTCGACTTGAAAGGTAGGTGGTTCTGCTCGTAGTTTTTTCCGAGAGTTGCCAACGGTAAGTATAGGGTAAGGTAAGTCAACGTTTTACAGTGTCGGCTTGATAGACCCCTAGGAACATTACAACAGCAATATATTTTTCCGTGAAGGATCCGCGAGGCTTTTGAAATTAGCGTTCATTGTACTACTCCAATCCCTTTCTATCATCAGGCAAGCGCAATAACGTACGTTGAACGCTAACTTCAAATATAAATATAAAAGGCCTCATGGATCATTCGTGAAAAAATGCATTAATTCTGTTTCCTTATGGTGCGTTCTCCCTGGGACACACGGTATATTGCATAAATATAGTGCACAGCCTAATGAATGTTCATGTCGGATGTACTCGTGCTTGGTGTTAACGTCGAGTGTTCGTTCTTAGTGCTCGTGCTTGGTCTTCATGTTGAGTGCTCGTACATGGTGTTCATGTCGGATACTCGTGCTTGGTGTTTATTACGAGTTAAGCAATATACAGGAGCAGATTTAAGTAAAAAGGGAAACTTCTTCGGGTAGTGGGCGTGAATATTGCGAAGCGTGAGCGAACATTTTCGTTTCAGTGCATTATTGGATGATTTTAATCGCGCTTAAATAAACTGTTACTACGAAAGGGTTGGGGTCCAAGGTGCAAAATATTTCGGTTGCGCTAAACTGGTAAAAATCTTAAAGACAAATAAGTAAGGTAATTGTGGACATTTTCATACTGCGGCATATCGGTAATCATTCCAGTAAATACCCCAAATTGGGACTAATAAATTCTGAGAAACCTGAAGCACGGTTATTGGGCATTCAAATTCGTCAATGCACTTTCGAGATTCGCTTGGCGTTCCACCATTCAATTTTCTAAATTGTTGCTACCATTCCAAATTCCAAAAGTAAAAAATAGCAGCTGCCAATGGGAGAAAATTTCTAGTTTGTATTGGCATATAGACAGGAGTCGATTTTTTTGGTGTTTTTGTATAAGAAATTTGCAAGCTCCATGGTATTTGTTCTTTAATTTCTAAAAATTGTTACAGTAAAATTTTTACCAGTGCCCTAGAGAAGAAAATTTATTTTCCACTAGACGGGTTTTTAACACCTACTAATGTATCTAAGCCGTTATAAACAACGCAAAGATTTGAAGTGCACTAGGAAAAGAGTGCAAAATAAAACACCGTCATTGCGTAATAGAACAATTTGTATAGTGGGAGAATCTTTAAATTTTGGATCGGTGACTTTAGTGGTCTCTGGTGGTCAATAATCTAAAATAAACGATTGTGAAGATGTTAATGCGCATGATTTGTAGCATTAATTGATAGATAATAAAGTAAATAAGGCAGATGAACAAGATGTGAATTATTTTGAGTGAAATAAAACGTTGTTGAGGAAAACAACATGAGAGGTTCCACCCTGTATATACAACTTACGACGATGCACACATTTTTGAGAGTTGGCAACCAAACAATTTTTAGGAGGGTAAAGCGATATGCGCCATCTGAAGAGCACGAACGTGGGTTACGTTTGCCATCTTGTCATGATCTTGTCTTGAATGGCGGACGTGAACGCGTCGCTCCATAAATGTTTGTTGTTATTTTGTGCTTTTTTAATGCAGGTAGTAATTTTTGCATTCCTTTATATCGTATTTGTGTTTTGTATGCCGCATTTTATATTTTGTGTGTGTTTGAATCTTAGTTTTTGAAATTTACTTGGTTTAACCGCAATGCAGAGACACATGTGTGATACCGTTATGCTATTGTTTGTAATTGTTTACGTTTTTGGTGTAATGCTTGCTTAATTTATGTTTTTTGATGTTGATTACTTGGTCTTGTCCTTGAAGTAACATTCATATAAGTTTTGATCATTTTATTTTAATATGTGGAAATTATCGATTCGTTTGATGTATATACTGGCTTGTTGTTTGTAACGAACAATTTTCTCCGTGAATGAAGCAGTCACGGGGGTGGTAAAAACTGTAACCCTTTGAAGTATGGCACCTAATTCCGTGATTGTCTTCTACATTCAACTGTAGGCTCGAAACCAGGGGCGGGCTACCTATCTTACAGGAGCGGGATTAGGCTAATCAAAGCTGCTCTTCAGTTTAGAATCTATGTGCGATAAATGAGTGGCCATTCAATAATTTCCACATATCTTGTTTTTAGTTAAATTTGCCTACAAGGCCATGTAATTTTCCATCTTGCTTTTAACAAAAGGACTTTATTGCACCAAAGATGAGTCACATCCTGTTTATTTCATCCTTAGAATCTTGGTACCTGCTTATCTGACCCATAATTCCCAAAACTTGTTTTTAACCTATATGTTACCTCTTCAAGTTTACCTGCTACTTTTTGTGATATTATAATTTCATGTTACGCATTCACATCATTACAAACAATTAGTTTTACTACACAGTTTAATATTAATTTGACGGCTGGTTTTTTTTATTGGTAAGTCCTTTTTTCCCAGCCTATTTCTATTTTTATTCGGTGAACTACCATTTTCAAAGTTTATTTTTGCAATGTAATTTATTTCGACTTAAATTTCCGAGCTTTTACAATCTTAATAATTGCGATCATTATTAAACAAACTTGTCACAATTTCAGTGTTTTATTTTTCGTTCCTTCCCTTTAAGCGGGATCTTGTTTAGTTTTGGAGGGATTAGTCATTCGAGTGGCCATTTTTAAACGTTGCCGGGTTGACTTTATTTCCGTGTTCTTGTAGTGTGAAGTTAGCGTAGAACCAGGGTGTTAAGTACACTACAAACATGAAAAATGTAATGATATTGGTGCGCAAATTCAGAGTGTGTGGAAATTAATTAAATTGTAGCTCATATCTCACCTAGACTCAAAAGTGGAAGTTTTGCTAGCAAGGTCCCACCCTTGAGAGTGATGACTGGTCCCTCGTTCGGAAAATGCCAGCGTAAAGGTAAGGCTTTGGATAAAGTACAGTGCGATGCCGTAACAGTTAGGTACATGGGTTCGATATCTACAACATAAACAAATGTGCAAATATGGTGACAGGACCTCGTAACTGAAGCATTTACTACAAAAACACAACAAAAATGTGAAGGCTACTACCCTGCACAGAACAACACAAAACGGCGATAACTTTAATCTTCTCCTGGAGAACCGCCCGGTTGCCAGATTTCAAAAATGTTATATATGACAAATCAATCGATTATGCACCAGTGTAGCAGTTTTGCCAATAGAAAACCAAAATACCTTTTCTTGTTTATTTAAAGTGGAAGTTCAACTAAAAAGTGAAACTAATAATTATTCACCTTTTATTTAAAAAACTTGTTCTTAAAGTAAGTCCTTCGCGTCGTTATCTGCTTATTTCTTACAGCTCAAGACAATTTGTAGGTACGTAATGTCCACCCATGGTGGTCCATCTCTTGTTAAAGTTGAACCGAACGAAGAGGAAGACATTAACATCTCTTTTGAGAGCAATGTTTTCGTACCCAATGAAATTCCGTCAGCAATAAAGGAGGAGAAGAAGGAAATTACGTTTGCCGAAAAATATTCTCGGCAGGAACCTCAATCTTCAACCTTGAAGGCTTTTAAAGCATCAATCAAAGGTTTTAAAGACGTTAAATGTGAATATTGTGATTACGCAACACATTCTAAGGAGCTTCTAAGACGACATCTCCCAAAGCACAAAGTTATTAAAGATTTTAATTGTGCCCATTGTTATTATGCAACACATTCTAAGGAGCTTTTAAAAGATCACCTTCTAACCCATAAAACTGCTAAAGAATTTAAATGTGTCAATTGTGATTACGCGACACATAATAAGAAACTGTTAACGCAACACTTTAAACGTCACGTTTTAACGCTTAAAGCAAGTTTTAAATGTGACCATTGTAATTACGTGACACTAAAGAAGTCCCATTTAAAAGAGCACCTTTTAATACACAAAATTGACAAACTGTTTAAATGTACCAGTTGTGATTATTCGTCGCATACTAAACGAAATTTAAGAAGGCATTTTGTGAAACACACAGACACCAAGAATTTTAAATGTGTCCGTTGTGATTACGTAACACATAATGAAATATATTTGAAACGACACTCAAAGAGACACCTTTTACCACGTAAAGTTGACATTTTTAATTGCGACTATTGTCATTATGCCACGCAAAATAAATACCATTTCCAAAGTCACATGCTAATACATACAACTGTCATTAGAGATTTTTACTGTGCCAGTTGTAACTTTGTAACGCACAGTAAAGAAGGTGTAAAAAGACATATCTTAACACATAATGGTGCGATTGGTTTTAAATGTAACATGTGTGATTATAAAACGTATAGTAAACGGCTTTATAGAGTACATCTCTTAACACATCAAACTGGTAAAGAATTTAAATGCGGCAACTGTGATTTTAAAACGCTTACTAAGGAACTTTTAACGCGACACTTAAAACACACAGTTACCATACCAAGTTTTAAATGTGTCTATTGCAATTATGAAACACAAAATAAATACCATTTCCAAGGGCACCTTTTAATACATACAACCGTCGTTACAGATTTTAAATGTGCCAATTGTGATTTTGTAACCCACTCTAAAGATGGTATAAAAAGACATCTTTTAACTCATAAGGTTTCTAAAGATTTAAAATGTGCCTATTGCAAATACGCGACAAACTTTAAAAGCAGCTTAAAACGACATCTCTTGTCACGGAAACATCTGCAAGGCTTTAAATGTAATGTGTGATTAGATTGTGGAAGTACAGCATACGAAATTGGTAAGCTGCAGCAAATTTTAAATGTATCTACTGTAATTTTAATGTAACATGTGATTGTGAAACAAATAATAAATTTTACAAAACTTTACAAAGTAGGTACCTACATCTTGGTTTCGTAGTAAACAATGGAAGAAGTATCTTTTTTACCCGTGTAGGGGTGGGAAAGAATAACTTTAACAGAGTGTAGTGCATGTCGGACAAGGCGACTAAACAACAGCAAGTCACCCGCAACCCTAGCGCTGATGATTGGTGAGAGAATTTGTTTTTGAATGGCTCTGAGTCTAAGTGCGTTTGAAAACGGCGTGATTGAATTGGATGGGTGTAAATCTAAAAAAATAGCGGGAAGTTGATTGTTCTGAGATCACCGACAGATCGTCCATACGTTACATTTGCTTATTCCTGACCCCCCCCCCCCGTCCACTGATCGCGAAATTCGCGTTGAGCCGTAAGCGAAGTTAAGTCAACACCCTGTAAATGACCGTGGGGCGGTTTTATTTGTGAAGAGAATTCGCTCTTAAAATTATTTCATATATTGGTGTGACACCCTAATAATCGAGAATGTGTTTTGCTTTAGGAGAAATCTTGTGTTAATACGCTAACGAAATTAAATTCACCATATGAAGATTTTAAATTCAAGCGGGACCCGGCTAGTAGAGGTTAACTGCACTATGCACGCTTAATAAGTATTTTTTTTATATCTAGACTCTGATATCTAGATACAGATAAAAATGGAGAAAACCCAGGAATTGAGTATAAAGGAATTTACATCCAACAGCTTAACAATATTGTGAGAGTCAATGGAAACGGAAACGAAGGTAGGCAGGTATTTTAATTCGATAATTGTATTAATTTTTTACAAATGACAAACAATATAATATACAAAACAACAAAAGCCGCCTAGATACAATGAAAAATGTGGCTAGTTACAAATATTTATTTTGATATACCTAATTATTTTATTGATCGACCCTGGTAGATAGTGTTAGAAATTCTACTCTGTATATACAACTTACGATGAAGCATACAGTTGTGAGAGCTGGCAACCGCGCGACTTTTAAAAGAAGGGGAAATCTGTCTGTGCAGTCTCGAGAGTACGAAGGTTTTTTTTCGATACAGCTGTCAGTTTGAATTCTCGCCGAGAGAGGGCAGCCTTAACGAAAATAAAACGGTTTACATAAATGAGCTCATGTATTTGTTTCAGCCGTTTTCAGACTTTTGGGAATAACGGAAGTTTGTTGTTTTTTTACGTTGTTTTAACATTTATTATTTAAATTTTTTATAATTATCAATCACACTCGGCACATTTAATTTCATTTATGTTTTAAAAGATGTCGTTTGAAGTTGCATTTTATATTTGTCCCATAATCACACGTAGTACATTTAAAATCCTTGGAAACTTTATGTTTCAAAAGATGTTGTTTGAAATTGCGTTTATCATTTGTACCATAATTACAAGTAGCACATTTAAAATCCTTGGAAACAGTATGTACTAAAAGATGTTGTTTGAACTTGTGTTTATGATTTGTCCCATAATGACAAGTAGCACATTTAAAAAAATTAGAAATGTTATGTTTTAAGAAGTGCTTTCTAAGGGCGGATTTATGATTTGTTTCGTAATCACAATCAGCACATTTAAAATCCTTAGAAACTTTATGCATTAAAAGATGTCCTTTGAAGTTTTGTTTACTATTTGTCCCATAATCACAAGAACCACATTTAAAATCTTTGGAAACTTTATGTTTTAAAAGATGTCGTTTCAAGTAGTGTTTATTATTTGTCTCATACTCACAAGTAGCACATTTCAAATCATTAGACACTTTATGTTTTAACAAGTGCTTTTTAAGAGCGGATTTATAATTTGTCTCATAATCACAATCGGCACATTTAAAGTCCTTAGAGACTGTATGTATTAAAAGATGTGCTCTGAAGTGGTATTTATTATTTGTCCCATAATTACAGAAACCACATTTAAAATCTTTAGAAACCTTGTGTTTTAAAAGATGTCGTTTGAAGTGGTGTTTATTATTTGTCCCATAATTACAAGAACCACATTTAAATTCTTTAGAAACCTTATGTTTTAAGAGATGTTGTTTGAAGTTGCGTTTAATATTTGTCTCATAATCACAATGAGCACATTTAAAATCCTTAGAAACTGTATGTATTAATAGATGTTGTTTGAAGTTGCATTTAACATTTGTCTTATAACCACAATCACCACATTTAAAATCAGTAGAAACTTTATGTTTTAAAAGGTGTTTTTTAAGAGCAGATCTATAATGTGTTTTATAATCACAATCTGGACATTTAAAATCCTTACTAACTTTATGTATTAAAAGATGTCCTTTGAAGTGGTGTTTATTATTTGTCCCATAATCACAAGTAGCACATTTAAAATCTTTAGAAACTTTATGTTTTAACAGATGTAGCTTGAAGTGGTGTTTATTATTTGTCCCATAATTACAAGTGGCGCATTCAAAATCCTTGGACACTTTATGTTTCAAAAGATGTCGTTTGAAGCAGCCTTTAATATTTGTCCCATAATCACAAGTTGCACATTTAAAGTCTTTAGAAACCTTATGTTGTAAAAGGTGTCGTGTGAAATTGCGTTTAACATTTGTTCCATAATCACAATCACCACATTTAAAATCTTTATGTGTTAAAAGATGTTGTTTGAAAATGACTGTATGATTTGTCCCATAATCACAATCGGTACATTTAAAATCTTTAGTTAAAAGGTGTTGCTGTTCTTCATTACAAAGAGATGTAGACCACGATGTAGTGATGGCACTTTCGTCCTTTATTTTTACCAAAACTTCGTTGCTTACTGAAATGTGTCCCTGAAGGAAGGAATGGATTTCATCTTCTTGTTCTGGTTCGACCTTAACGAGTAGTGTGTCGTTATCTCCATCCATACCTAACAACGATCATGTCGAAAATACACGTGTTAAACATCTGTTTTGGTTTATCTAGTTTGGTATTAAACAATACAAAGCAAAATCCCAAGACAATTAGTCATTACCAACATAATTTGTTGAATGTTGAATTTGTTATCTAACCTCTAACAAACACTCACTACTTTATTAAAACAAAACTTGAAAAAACATTACATACTTTACGGAACGGTATCAGACGCCATCTTATTTGATACTTCATAACATTTACGAAACAGTGCTGTCACTTTTACATAAAATTATACAAAGCGTTGTTGCCAACAAACATCTCTTACAAATTAATGAATAAGAAATTACACCCTTATATATATGATTACACCCCGCAGCAGTTATTCTTTATTAACAATGACGTTGCTATCTTATCTTGACCTTAGAGAAGGAAAGAGTGAAGAGTTATAATAATTATCGTAAAGTAAAGCAAACATTTGATTGTTATTTCACCGAAAACTAACCTATAATTTATACCTGTGAAACGATATACTTTCGCTATCGCTAGATGACGACAAAAAATTCTCTCAACGCAAGAAACAAATTCAAATTGTCGCACGTTTGTATTGAAAATTTGTTAACTAGCAGCTCCACGAGCTCTCGGACCTCGTGCGTCGAAATTTGCACTGAGTGCGTAATTGTTGCATCATATTTGCCAATGGAACACAGAAAATTGTCCTAAAATTACCAATAGAACGTAAAAATTGCACTCGTGCAGCACGAGTTTTGCCAATCGAAAACTCTATATGAATACAACTCAAAATACAATAAAGCCCACCACCAACAAGCTTTAACAAACAACAAGTGATGATGTGACGCCAAGCACCCAAAATCCCCCGGAAGCTACCAAAAAAATATCGACAGGTGGTGATGGCGGTGGCTCATCTCCCCAGAATCTCCAACTACTTGACCGGTTGCATATATAATATATAGACATCTCAATAAGAATTTTTTTTATATCTAGACTCTGATATCTATAATAAAAGATGTTGTTTGAAGTTGTGTTTATGATTTGTCCATATATATAAGAGAATATATATGGATTTGTCCCATAATGACAAGCAGCACAATTAAAAAAATTAGAAATGTTATATTTTAAGAAGTGTTTTTTAAGGGTGGATTTATGATTTGTTTCATAATCACAATCAGGACATTTAAAATCCTTAGAAACTTTATGTATTAAAAGATATCCTTTGAAGTTGTGTTTACTATTTGTCCCATAATCACAAAATTCACATTTAAAATCTTTGGAAACTTTATGTTTTAAAAGATGTCGTTTCAAGTAGTGTTTATTATTTGTCTCATACTCACAAGTAGCACATTTCAAATCATTAGACACATTATGTTTTAACAAGTGCTTTTTAAGAGCGGATTTATCATTTGTCTCATAATCACAATTGGCACATTTAAAGTCCTTAGAGACTGTATGTATTAAAAGATGTGCCCTGAAATGATATTTATTATTTGTCCCATAATTACAAGAACCACATTTAAAATCCTTAGAAACCTTATGTTTTAAAAGATGTTGTTTGAAGTGGTGTTTATTATTTGTCCCATAATTACAAGAACCACATTTAAAATCTTTAGAAACCTTATGTTTTAAAAGATGTCGTTTGAAGCAGCCTTTAACATTTGACACAAGTTGCACATTTAAAATCTTTAAAAACTTTATGCTGTAAAAGGTGTCGTGTGAGATTGCGTTTAACATTTGTCCCGTAATCACAATGGGTACACTTAAAATCTTTAGTCACGATTTTACCCGGAGTTAAAAGGTGTTGCTGTTCTTCATTACAAAGAGATGTAGAACACGATGTAGTGATGGTAGTTTCGTCCTTTATTTTTACGAAAACTTCGTTGCTTACTGAAATGTGTCCCTGAAGGAAGGAATGGATTTCATCTTCTTGTTTTGGTTCGACCTTAACGAGTAGTGTGTCAGTATCTCCATCCATACCTAACAACAATCATGTCGTAAATACACGTGTTAAACATCTGTTTTGGTTTATCTAGTTTGTTTTAAACAATAGAAAGCAAGATCCCAAGACAACTAGTCATTACTAACATAATTTGTTGAATTATGAATAAGAATTACAACACGCACCAGTAATTATTTATTAACAATGACGTTGCTATCTTATCTTGACTATCTTTCCTTCTCTAAGGTTGCTATGTCGTTTTGGCTATACACCAACGAAAGTGAAGGAAAGTTCATAAGCCAACGAGTTATGTGATAGGCATAATGGATTACCAACTTGAGATGCCCCAACCTTAACAACGTCCTGTGAATATGATTGTCGATACGAAGCACCCTATACATCCATGTAGTTTACACAAGCTGCCAACCCGGCGGGACAAAAAGTGACACTTAAGGTCTTGTCATAATGGAGTGAAGTTGTCACTTTAGTCTTGGAAGTACGAAAAAATCACTTTACGAGATACATTTATCGCGGGAAATGTAAGCGAGAATATTCAAATAGGCAGCCATGTTAGTGTGGCATTCCCGCTACTACAGAATATGGTCCAATATCCCGGTGTGACTTGAAGTTGGCATTAGCTCGCCGAGATATTAGGAGGCTAAGATCATCACAAAGTGATCGTTACAAACGGGCTTTAGACTATGACAGAAAAAACCCTTTCCTTCTCTTAAGGGTATAGAAACAATGTATAAAAACCATGCTGTCACTTTTCTGTATTCCAAATACATGTTCTTTTATATACAGTGTGTCCCCGGATGGACTGAACAAGCGGGAACAAATTTTTAATTTTAACTTGAGATGTCTGCTTTCAAATTTCAAACAAGAAGTTCCGTTACCATACATTGAGACACCGTTTAAGCTACCGTTGCCAGATACCGAGCCACAATTCAATAGCGTTCCCATGAAAAAACAATAGGTTTATTATTCAACAATGTATTCAGTCTTCAATGTCAGCAATTATAACAATAGTAGTCTGTATAGGGAGGAAATGGTGGATAGATTTAGTTTTTGCCGAGTTAGCTTTTCGAGTTCCCACAGGTTCATTTTTTCTTTGAGTTCACTTTGCTTTGGGTAGTCAGTTAGTGTGGTGTTCATTGTAACAGAAAGCGTTGAGTGAAAAATAGTAAAGAGGCGCAACTGTATATAAAATTGCGATACGCTTAGACCTCTTTCTTTCTCTAAGGCGACACCTATATTTCTATCTCACTTGCCGTAATTTTCCGTGCTGCACTGACTACAAACAAGTTTACGGTTAGTGCTGCCATCATATTTTAATTTTGGACTTAATACGATTACGAAAGTATGACGTCATTCACGTCTTATCCCGACCCGACCCCAAACAGCTGATGAGAGTTTGTTTACCTTTTTGTAACATGGCGTTAATAAACTTGTCCGACCTTTTCGAGCATTTTCTGAAGAAATTACCGTGTTTGGTAGAAGCGAATATAGTTAGTGGAAATGTGCTTGGGATGGAATGTAATGAACATGAACAATAGAGAATGAAGCAAGTATGAAAAGAAATGCAAGTGTAGGTAAGGGAATAATGCTTTGCATAAGGTTTTATAAGTGCAAGTGTAACTCAACATTTTATTTTAGGTTAATTTAAACGAAGAAGAATTGTACCAAGCGGCATAAGTAACAGCATATCTGCGCTTTTTTGCTGTATGCAAATAACAAGGCAAATAACAATATCAGTAAAATCGAGAGAAAAACTGATACAGTATGCCAATGGAAAGAGTCAATCTCAATCTCATCTATTGAAACAACAGTTTCTGTGTTGGAATTGTTTCCGAAAGTACAATGTGGTGCCACGAATAGAGGATGAGGTTGAAAGCACTAAACAGGTAAGATTAATTTTGACACAGTTTTTAAATTCTATTTATATAAGCAATTAACTTATGTATGAAGCACAAGGCCCTATTCAGATAGGTGGTAGTGCAGGGCTGTTGCGGTGCGATGCCTTTGTATAAAAGTTTGGAATACGCATACTCATATGACCATTCTCAATGACGTGCAAAATGCAGACGACTTGCAGCCGCGTGCCGAAAATATGTAAACCTCAAATTTTCCGCACTACAGTTACCAAGCATCAATAGAAGCTGTTGTTCATACTTGTGTAGGCAGGCTAATTTTGCGGCGTTTGTGAATGCAAATGTCAACATAACAGCACCGATCTGCACCGCACAACAGGCAACGGCACCGCACTACCTGATATCTGAATGGGGCTTTAGACCCGACTGCTAATTGCAAATAAAATATGGTGAAGGACATGGCCTGGGTATGTGAGTTGCAGAGTCAAGGAGTCTGTTGGAGGTTGTCCGATGAGACACGATTTGAGACTGTCAACCTTTAAATTAACAAACGCCAATTAATATTAATCTAGAAATGCCAACAATACAAACTTATTCTTATTCCTGGATAGTAGAAAATGAGATAAGTAATGAAGAGTATTTAAAGCTTCCCCTACTACTTGGTTGCTATTATAGAAGCTGCTCCTGTGGTTGTGTTACTTACAAAATGAAATACTAAGTGTTTAGTATCACTGGTTTTTAGTGCACTTTCACTTTCAAAAAATAAAAAGTGCACTTTTGCGCTCCTTATGTCTGTCTGTCTGAGTCACAAAGGCTCCAAAACTACACCAATTACAAACTTGGTATTGGAAATTATTATGTTTGTATTCTCGTTAAGGCATGAAATGTCCATAAGGGCTATTAAAATTAAAAGAACATATTTGGAAGTGCACTCTTCGCCTTTTACTCACAAGCTGGTTAACGAATCTTGATATAATATGAGTTAAATTGTCAGGATCAATTTTCACAAAAGTATACGTCCAAATCTCTCATACTTACTTCATACGGCAGAGACCATTTGAAAGAATAGATCTTTTCGCCAAATTTGCACACAAATTGAAACATTTAAAACTGAAAGGTTATTTTCTTTGTGATCACAGGAAATTATTAATTTATTATTATAAATGTATTTGAAAATTACAGCAGTTTTTTTTTAATAAACCAATTGTAAAATTGTTTTTAGGTGTCCTGCTTCTTTCTATTCCTCTTCGCCAAAGAAAATGGAATAAAGTGGATTCTGGCTTGGATTTCTCTCTCTGCAGCAAAGGAAAGGAATTTAGATGGAATAAAGTGGATACCGTGGGAGTTAAACTCGCGAGTTAAATCATGAAGCAACTGTCATTCGAGAGTGCAAAAATATAGAGAACGTAAAACTAATTCTAACCAGAATATGACTTTGTGGGAATGATTTTTAGGTGGTTCACCCTATGGCTTCGTGGGAGCAGATACTAGTTATTAATGATACAAGTTCGATATGATCATCATAATGAAACGCGTGTAACGTTAAAATCATGAGGTGTAACCACATAGTTTTAGTTCCACAGGTTTCATTAATAATAATTTTCATGTATCATTCAAAATTTAATCTACGACGGTCCAAACAGATTTTATATGCATTTTGAGTTATCTAAACGTTTTCATAAAACAAAATTCAAAATTATCAAGTGCCCATACTAGTGGATGTCATGGTAATCACGTTTGTCAATTTTGGCGTTCGCGATGGAAAATAGCAGTAATTATTATTTGCGTGCTCGTTCCGACACGGCGGTAATCGCGCGATTCTCAAGAGGACCTTATTTACATGAAAACGTTTCAAATCGTTCAGACAGAACCATGCAGGATTAAAGCTGTGTCTGAAGAAAGCCTAATGAATTCATAAGCATAAGAGCTTATGAAATCCAAAGTGGACATGCTAAATCTGTCATAATGACAACATCGTAGATTACATAAATAAAGTGTCCATTTCGTCATAGAACACTAGATGAATTAAGAATGGGCAAAAATTCATATTTGATGGTAGTTCAAATGTGAAAAGGTCACACCATGCTTTTCATTACAAGAACTTGTTCTTATGATGAAAACATCTTTGTCATGTGGACTCCTATAGATGTAAGAAAGGAGAACAATTCAAATTTAATATGTTTGTAACCTTTTAGGTAAATTATTAAAACAGTTGTATTGTTATCTATTAGTTTTCATAGTAAGTGATTTTAGTTTTTAATTAAATATGTATGGATATTTACACATATGGAAAATGAAATAAAACTATTTGTACATATTCCTTAATTTTAAATTATTTAATCAGTGGCCAATGGTAAACATTTTTCTAATTCTGTAAGTACAGCATACCTATTTAGTGGTGTAATAAGATTGAACAGTACAGTGGAATGCTCTCTCAAATGAGCCATAAAATCCAAATTTTTTACTCTTATCATCTCCACATGCTACTTTTCGCATAAACTGAGCTAAGAGGTTGCTTAAAAATGACTATATTCACAGAAACACCAATTTGACTACAAATTTTTATCATAAATCCTTTGACAGCAAGAATTAAATCTCCAGCTTCCATGTGACTTAGAACGCCACTTTGTCTAACCTTGATCCCGGAAATAAATCACTCATAAAAGTTGTTGCTGCGCTGCTTGTAATTGGAAGATAAAGCTTTTTTAAAGGAATGGGGGAATTGCACCATCAATTTCCCTGCAATCCAGCACAATTCTGCCATTTGGGAAGTCTTTGAAGCATGTAGGTATAAAAAGATAATTTTTCTCTCTACTAGTCATATTTGATATTACTTGTAAGGCCCAGACAACATTACAAGTAGCACATATAAATATGTGACGATAATGTTTTGCATTGTCATGTTACTCACTGTAAATCTAAAACACTTCAAATATTTTAAATTTAATCGAAACTTCATTAATGTACATAACAGATAATCGGGTGGTACGATTTCCACAGCCCAGCTACAATAAAAAGTAAGCGGCTGTTGGAAGCTCAATATATTGAAATACTAGTTTATCTTCCCACTAATATCTTGGAACAATAGTTTTTTTTCACACTGTTGTAGGGTTTCATTTAAATTTGTATTTTCTTCTTCTTTGGGAAAGTACAACTCGGTTTTTTCAAGTGTTCGAGAATTTAGCGGAAATGTTGAAGTGAAAGGACCTGCTTCCATGGCTCCGGGTTCTTCGCTACATTTCTTACTGGTCACTTTTTTGGTTTTTCTGAAAATACACTTTCAAATTTCAGAAAAATGTTTATTAATACACACCTTTTCCACGTTTCTGGACTCGTTTCTGGATAAAGAAATTTCCCTCTTTATTCCATGGGAATAATATGGTAGTGGTGACTCAACACTTTGATACCATCACTCTACTTCGGATCTCGACTGTCTCTTCTACAAATATTGTGCAAGGTGAGTAAAGATCGAGTAAGTATTTCGGAGCCCAAATAGGGCTTTGGGTTTCAAAGATCTTACCTGCACTTGTAAACTTGTATTTTCTGCTGGAAATCGGAACAACTGCACGTTTCCCGTCTTGAATCATGTGGACATCCACCACAGTTAACAAAAACTAAAAACGTAAATCGGCGACAAAAAGCGCACTAAAAATGAATTGTTTTATTTTCATCAGCTGTTTATTTGGCAGTCCTGTCGTGACGTCATTACAAACACTTTCGAATCAATCACGTCACTTAAACATCTCGGGGCCTCGGCACCGAATAAAAGTCAAGTACTCTGTGATCTCGGTGCCTTTTGACAACTGGCGCATCTATTTGTCGGTGCCCGCACAAGCCTCATATAAATTGATCAAGTTGCGTCTCTTATTACTTTTCACTCAACGCAGAAAGGTAATGTACTTAGTTGTAATTGATTTATATTGTAGATTATGTTGCCTTCAGCTAGTTGTAATGCAGGGTAAAGTGATTCTTGAATTTGGTGTAATTTGCTTTCATGTAAAAGTGGTTCTTGTTTGATTTGTTGAAGATTGGCCAGTTATCAATTTTCATGTGTTTGTTTTGAACCCATTTAGATTGATTAGCGACTTCAATTCTTTGTGTATGAATCAGCCTTTTTTGAGTGTAATTAACCGTTTCGCCCTTGCAGAGGTACATGCCGGAGTGATAAAAGATACTTAGCGGCATGTATTTCGAACGACAACTTTAGTCTAAGGTTACCGTATCCAGGATCTTAGATACCTGCTAGATTGGAGGAGGTCTGGCTAATTATTGATGTTTATTTTATGCACTTTATGTAAGAGACTTCGGAATGTATCTTTCACACATGAGAAAGGATTGAAGGTGCTTTTTAAATCTACTTGTGATGGCCATCCTTTAACTTATCAAGTTTGTATTGTACTAACGTCAGATTTCAATCTGTCCAATTCAAGAGTTACTTACTCGGATTATTATTCTTTGTATAACTATTGTAGCGGTGTTGTAAAATGTGTTTAGCGTTATCCAATGTTACCTCTCATTCTCCAGATTTTCCCTCTAGATTTCACCTCTGTGAACAGTGAGTCGGAATTTTCTTTAGCACGGTTCTTTTGTCCGACGAGTTCTAGGGGAACCTGGCACTTTTTGGCTTTAAATGTATTCTGTCTAAATTTGTAGGATGTCTTTCGGCCTTTTGATTCATTTTTACACTTTTGATCAGTTCTTTAATAAACTTTATTTGTGTTTCAATTTCAATTAAGCGTATTATTTGCGTTCCGCCTTTCCGATAATTAGCATGGGTACGAGTGAGTGCAACCTGGCCTTCCACAACGTAGGGGTTCCGGACATTGTCGAGTGTGAGGTTTGTGTTACTACGCAGGTGTTCCGAGTTCGTGTTTTTTCCGCTTTCGTTAGCGCGGGAGCTGTCGACTTGGGTACATCACAAACTTTACGCAAAAATGTCATTCTTTATAAAAATGTTTGCTTGCCTCAAAACCACCTATTCTGAAATAAGGCTGCGGTCTCATCTAATCGCGCGCAACCGTCCGCGAACGTGCACAATCGAGCATTTGCACGATGAATGCTTACTAGCGGTTCCATCGGATCAACCGACACCGATCGATTGTTGCACTAATCCTATTAAGGTATCTATTTCTTCTGGCGTCCAAGAACCATTGCCATTACCACTACACATTATATACACCAGCAGAATACTTTTATACAAATTTAGAATTTAATTTGAGATTGAAAATTGGATACAGGATACGTTTTGTTGTGAACAGCTGATTTAAAGATGGCGGTGAATACGTCACATGCGTTCACAGACTAAAATCATACATAAGACAAAAATCATACATTAAAATCAAACAAGTCGATGACAAATGATGCTGCTTGGTTTCTAACGAACGAAGCAGTAGGACCAACCCCGTTTGTACGCCTACGCTTGCTTTTTGGTTGATCGCCGTTGATCGCTGACGATTGATCAATGGGACTGCAGCCTAAAAATCTAGATATTCCTTTTAGCAGCTGAGAAAATTACAAAAAACGCAAAATCTACAGCGGAAATTTTTCTAAGTTGCATGTTTTTGATTAAATCAGACTATCATTGTATCTTCCATGGCAACCTGATAAGCAAATCAAGTTAGACACCTTAGAGCTTAAGAAAAAGAACGACATTTTTGAGTAGTTAAAATTAAAAATTTTTTCTCTCTTGTTCAGTCCGTCCGGGGACACACTGTATACAGGATAAATTCATACAAAAGCATTGTTTCCAACTTATATCTTCTATAAAAGTAACATTTCTTCACTCAATGAAGTAAACGCCAAGAATATCGCTATCACACCTTCAACGCACAGTATTGCTCTTGATAGTCCCTTCGTCTAAGGAGCGATCAAAAATGAGTTGCTGTCGAGTTACCTTTGGAAGTTCAAGTTACGTACAATTTCCCATGTAAACAAAACTCCAAAGGTGACTCGAAAGCAATTCATTTTTTATCGCATAGTAGGTGTTGAATTTGTTCCATTCGATGAGATAAGTTCAGGAGCACCTGTGATTTGAAGATAATGCCTAATGTATCCCAAAAAGTGTAGCACAAAGTCCAATCTGTTATTTATTTCATAATCATAATTAGAACATTAAAAATCCTTAGAAACTTTATATTTTAAAAGATGCCGTTTGAGTTTGTGATTTGTCCTTTGAATAAAGAAGATAGGATTTGTCCCATAATGACAAGTAGCACATTTAAAATCTTTTGAAACCCTATGTGTTAAAAAGATGCCGCTTCAGGTTTTGTTCATCACTTGTCCCATAATGACAAGTAGCACATTTAAACTCGTTACCACCTTTATGTTTTAAAAGATGTTGTTTGAAGAGGTCTTTATAACTTGTCCCATAATCACAAGTAGCACATTTAACACCGTTAGAAACTTCATGGTTTAAAAGATGTTGGTTTAAGTTTCTTTTAACATTTGTCTCATAATCACAATCAGCGCATGTAAAATACTTAGACATATTATGAGTTAAAAGATGTCCTTTTAAGTTGCGTTTATCATTTGTCCCATAAGTACAAGTAGCACATTGAAACACGTTAGAACCTGTATGTTTTAAAAGATGTTGTTTGAAGAGGTGTTTATAATTAGTCCCATAATCACAAGTGGCACATTTAAAATCCTTAGAAACTTTGTGTTAAAAGATGTTGTTTCAAGAGGCGTTTATTATTTGTCCCATAATCACAAGTAACACATTTAAAATCCTTGGAAGGTTTATGGTTTAAAATATGTTTGTTTAAGTTCCTTTTAACATTTGTCTCATAATGACAATCAGCACATTTAAAATCCTTAGAGACTTTATGTGTTAAAAGATGTTGTATGACGTTTTGTTTAAGATTTGTTCCATAATCACAATAAGCACATGTAAAATCCTTAGACACTTTATGTGTTAAAAGATATTGTTCGAAGTATACTTTTTAACATGTGTCTGATAATCACAATCAGCACATTTTAAAACGTTTGAAGGTTTATGTTTTAAAAGATGTTGGTTGAAGTGTTTTTCAACATTTGTCCCATAATCACAAGTAGGTAGCACATCTAAAATCCTTGGAAACTGTATGTATTAAATGTGCCGTTTGAAGCTGCTTTTATAATTCGTTTCAAAATCACAATCAGCACATTTAAAATCTTTAGACACTGCTTTACATTGAGTTAAAAGGTCAGGATATAAGTCAGAGTGTCGCTGTACTTCTTCATTATAAGGAAATTTAGAACACTGTGTACTAATTGTAATTTCGTCCTTTACTGTCACCAAAACTTCGTTAGGTACAGGTATGTGCTCCTGAAGAAAGAAGTGGATTTCTTCTTCTTGTTTTGGTTCGACTTTAATGAGTAGTGTGTCATTACCTTCAGCCATACCTAAAAATAATGTTAGAAATAAATGTGTTGAAAATCTGTTTTGGTTTATCAAAAATCTATTATGGAGCGAGATCCCAGGGCAACTAGACATTACTTACTTTCTGAGTAACATTTGTTGACGTCATCATTGTTTGTTTACTATGTCGCTTTGGTTATACGCATACTGAATTACTGAATTTAAAGCTAACTTCACATAGATGTGTGGCTTGGAAAGGGAATACAAGTTGGGTTGGGTCTTTGATAGTATTAGTATATAATCAAACAGTTGGGTAAATGGCTTATACATTTGGTAAATGATCAATAAGGTGGCGCTTAGAACATTTCAATATACGGTGCGTCCCAGCTAGAACGTACCATAGCGAAACGGCAAGGTATTTTTTCGCGAAGCATCCACGAGGCATTTGAAATTGGCGTTTAACGTACTACTCCAATCTCTTTCTAGCAATAACGTACGTTGAACGCTAACTTCAAATAGATATCAAAGGTATTTTAATTAACAGTGTTGTGACTTATCTAAATTTAAGATATCTGTAACTAAATACAATTCTCATTGTATCTGGAGCTTCTTACACTTTTTTTAGGGGAATTTTTTGTTAATTCCCCTTATGTGATGTCCGTCTTATATTCGTCTAACTTGAGAACGAGTTAAATTAATTACTTACATGAAAGCAAGAACGAAAAAACAACGACAAAAATTATCCTGCTGAGTCCGAGCTCTAGTGGCCCGATAGGGCAATTCCGCGTTGACTACTACTGTCAAACTGATCCTACGCGCACGCTTCAAAATCGAACAATAAATACCTACAAGCGTTGTTATGGTAACGTAAGTTAATATTTATACACAGAGTGGTGCCGAGCGCGACCCAGCATTGGGATCTTTTCTTTGTAACCGTGTGAAGTACACACCACAAAGATTTAAAAATATGCGTTTGAAATCAAATGTTAACACTCCGTTATAGAATATAGTTTTACTTATTCAATAATAAAACAAATAAGTAGTTAAGAAATTTAGTGTGGTAGTGCAGTAACAAAAATAATTAATAAGACGCTACATTCTTCATGTAGTTAAGTGATTTGACGATACAGGAAGTGTTGCTTGTGGAAAATCCCCTGGTCGTCCAACAGTTGCTAACGAGGAAGTTGTAGATGTGCGTGCTCGTCTTGAACAAAGCCCGCAAAAGCCACTGCGACAGCTATCCCAACTGGTCTGTTATACGGAACCTGTCGGCAAATAACGAGGAAGAAGTTTCATTTCTATCCGTACCAAGTAACCGTCCTACAAGAACTTCATCGCCTATTTATCCCAAAACGTGTCCCACAAAGTCTAATCTATTATTTAACTCATAATAATCATAATTAGCACATTAAAAATCCTTAAACTTTATGTTTTAAAATATGTTGTTTGAAGAGGTGTTTATAATTTGTTCCATACTTGCAAGTGGCACATTTAAAATCTTTAGAAACTTTATGTGTTAAAAGATGTTGTTTGAAGTGGTATTTATTATTAGTCCCATAATCACAAGTAGCACATTTAAAATCTTTTGAAACTTTATGTTTTAAAAGGTGTTTTTTTAAATCACATTTATAGTTTGTCTGATAATCACAATCAGCACATTTCAAATCTTTAGATAATTTATGTTTTAAAATATGTTGTTGGAAGCGTCCTTTAATATTTGTGCCATAATCACACGTAGCACATTTAAAATCCTTAAAAACTTTATGTTGTAAAATATGTTGTATCAAGTTGCCTTTATAATTTGTCTCATAATCACAATTAGCACATTTAAAATCTTTTGAAACTTTATGTATTTGATTTTGTTTTAAGTTGCGTTTATCATTTGTCCCATAATCACAATCGGAATTAAAATCCTTAGAAACTGTATGTTTTACAAAGTGTCTTTTAAGGTCGGATTTATAATTTGTCCCATATTCACAATCAGTACATTTAAAAGTCTTAAAAACATTATGTGTTAAAAGATGTTGTTTGAAGTACTTTCGAACATTTGTCTCATAATCACAATTAGCACATTTAAAATCCTTAGAAACTTTATGTATTTCATTTTGTTTTAAGTTGCGTTTATTATTTGTCCCATAAACATAATCGGAATTAAAATTCTTAAAAACTGTATGTTTTACAAAGTGTCTTTTAAGGTCGGATTTATAATTTGTCCCATAATCACAATCAGTACATTTAAAAGCCTTTGAAACTTTATGTTTTAAAAGATGTTGTTTGAAGTAGCTTTGAACATTTGTCTCATAATCACAATCAACACATTTAAACTCGCTTGAAGCTTTATGTTTTAAAAGATGTAGTTTGAAGTACTTTTTAACATTTGTCCCATAATCACAATCGGGACATTTAAAATCCTTACAAACTTTATGTTTTAAAAGATGTTGTTTGAAGTACCTTTGAACATTTGTCTCATAATCACAATCAACACATTTAAACTCGCTTGAAGCTTTATGTTTTAAAAGATGTAGTTTGAAGTACTTTTTAACATTTGTCCCATAATCACAATCGGGACATTTAAAATCCTTACAAATCTTTAAAATGTCTTTAAAAAGATGTCGTTTGAAGTTGCGTTTAACATTTGTCTCATAATCACATTCGACACATTTAAAATCCTTAGCAACATTATGTGTTAGAAGATGTGCTTTTAAGTGTTGTCTATTATTTGTACGATAATCACAAGTAGCACATTTAAAATCCTTAGAAACTTTATGCTTTAAAAAATGTGTTTTAAGAGCGGATTTATAATTTGTCTCATAATCACAGTCGGCACATTTAAAATCCTTAACAACTTTATGTATTAAAACATGTAGTTTGAAATTACGTTGAACATTTGTCCCATAATCACAATCACCACATTTAAAAAAGTTATGTGTTAAAAGATGTTGTTTGTAAACAATTTTATGATTTGTCATGTAATCACAATCAGTACACTTAAAATCTTTAGACTCTGTTTTAGATGGAGTTAAAAGGTCAGAGTGTTCCTGTTCTTCATTACAAAGAGATGTACAACACGATGTAGTAATGGTAATTTCGTCCTTTACCGTCACCAAAACTTCATTGCTTACTGAAATGTGATCTCGAAGACAGGAATCAATCTCTTCTTCTTGTTTTGATTCGACTTTAATGAGTGGTGTGTCATTATCTCCATCCATACCTAACAACAATATTATTACAAATAAATATGTTCAAAATCTGTTTTCTTTTATCTATTTGGGTATTAAACAATTCAGAGCGCGATGCCGATCTATTACCACAAAACACGTCGGACATTACTAACGAATCTGTTACTGCCAGAGGCGTAGGAACCAAATTTTCTTTGGGGGAGAAAATTCAGAGGCTCGAATCGGCCTTTCGGTGTCAAAATTAAACTAATTTGAAATAAACAATTCGAATGTGTATTTACTATGTTTAGTAAAAAATTAAACGAACTCCTTGGTATGGCTATAGCTTCGCATTGCGTATTATAGGTATATGGCTAAAGTTATGCTCATTTTGAATTTCGGTTCATAACTCGTGGAGATGTCAAAGGACCTTCTTAATTTTTTGGTCTACATTGCCAATTCATGATCTCCAATCTACAAATGTGATAAAAAATCCACCTGCAAAATTTCATGGTAATCGGTCCATTCGTTTTCGAGACTTCATGCTAACGAACGGACGGACAGACACCGTAAAATTATGAACCCGCCAAGAGCTCGTTAATAAATAAATAGAAATTCATATTATGAACAGTGAAAATGAGCAAAAAATATGTTTGTTGAGAACTACTTGTCAATACTTTTCGATAGAGAAGTTATAACTATAAAGCTCGCCAGGAGGGAATGCCGGTTTCAGAACACCTGATTCCGGTCTACAGTCGTATGATTTTATTAAACCATACGATTGTAGACCGGCATCAAGTGTTCTGTGACCGGCGTTCTCTTCTGACAACCTAAAAATAATGGAAACAAACCTCTATCAAATGAGCCTAATGAAAAGGCGCACTGCCATTTAAAAAAATTCAATTGTTTTTCGATACTCATTTGTCTCTGATATAAAAACAACTGAATGCTGCTTTATTATGGGAAAAAAATATTAAACAAGTTTCATATCAAAATTGTTTGTATATCTACGTTGTGTAATAACTGGGTTCTCAGCAGCACTGAGGGCGTTTTATGGGTAAGGAACACCAAAAGCAATAGCTGATTAAGTTTATATTGAAGCTAATACCAATACGGCGCGCCCCTGCAGAGGGTCTTAAGTGGTTCTATACTACTCCGGCATTTACCTTACGAATTAGGAAAACTGCAGGAAAAGCTAATTCGGAGTAGTCCTATAATGAACAACATCCAATGTACAGCACCTTTGAGCCCTCTCGAAACCGGGGTAACTACTACAAACACGCTATGAGTAACCAAAATGGGATCGAGCCATTCCCCAGGTATTACAACACATACATCGGACAAAACTAAGAGATGTCAAATATACCTCGCTGGGCGGGAGGAGTACCCAGGCCCAGTGGGGTCCCTGTAAACCTGGGCTAAAGTTGTGGGGTTCGGAGCGAGTGAAAATGTTAGTGTTAGGTTCACCAAGGCCGTATAAACTCGAATAGCTCGATCCCCTCTAAACAAGCACACTTTCCTCTTGATTACTCACAGTCCCAAATAAGCAAATATAATGAAATGCAATGGAATAATCGAGAGTGACTAAAAAGCACAATACACAAATTAAATATGTACACATGCAAGTATGTACAGCACAGATACATCCCTACCGACAATGAAACATGATTGCCAATACCAACAAAGGTTACACATTAAAGGTACAAGTGATTGAATTCAGTAAGTACATAAGTAAAGGGTTACCATCTACATTCAAGTGACACACATTTATAGATTAATTGAATAAAGCAAATACCTCACCTGATATAACAAAGCAAAAGCACACAGCAATGATTAAGGTATAAGAAAATATTTCAAGACAAGCCGTACTTTACACTTCAGCCTGGTTAGTGGTTACCAGACAAAGACCATGAACACACATGTTAAATCCCATTTATTTGACCAACCCAAGCCACGCGGTAATTTGATCTGCTAATACCCCTAAAAACCACCCGAAAATTGCCCATTCCCTGCATTTCACGCATTTCTAAGAAAAAAGTGGACTGCAGGTGTTTGAAATTGTAAACAGATGTGGTCTTCCAAGAAATTCCATCCGTCTCATCTTCGCTCTCTTTCCCTTTTCTGTAATTCCACCAGGTTTCGGTTGGCAGATTGTGTAACTAACATGATGTATAGGGTGCTTCGTATCGACAATCATATTCACAGGAAATTGCTAAGGTTGGGGCATCTCAACTACAATCAAAATTGAGAAATTATCGTGTGCAATAATGAAGTTTGACACATAGCAATGTAGACAAGGGAATGTTTTAATTTATATATGCCATGATTAAGATTAACGCAGCAATTGTTTTTTAATTTCCTTACTAGAGAGGACAATCACATTTTCTTCACCCTTTTTTGAGACGAAAGTTGTTTCTAAAATTGTTTCAGAAAAATAACTTGTAATGTTTCTAGGGGTCTATCAAGCCGACACTGAAAACATTGAATTACCCTATACTTACCGTTGACAACTCTAGGAAAAAACTACAAGCAGGGCCACCTACCTTTCAAGCCGAAACTATGGACGTTTCGCGGCACTTTTGGATTTGGATGGCAGTTGGCTCGATGTGGGTGGCACGAATTGACCCCTACGTTGTGTAATCGGTTCTTATATGTGTTGGGACGTGAGACATAATCGGGAAGGAAATTAAATAAAAGACAGAACTTTTGTGCGTAAGATGACAAGAACAAATAAATATTACACACAACAAGACCATGCCAGGGAAACCTTCTACGGGACAAAACCCCGGCATAGGCCACACAAATACATGAAATAAATCACCTACAGCAATAAAATGCAAGAGAAAATACACATAAATAAAACATCTCAAATTGTATGATAAAAATCAGATAATCAAATCAAATGCAATTAAACAAGTACATAAAAACAAAATACACAAGACATCATAAATACAGTAGAAAACATGATAAATCAATTCAGTACAAAAACACATCAAAATACCTGTACAATCAATTGAGATAACACCACTCCGTAAAACAATAAATTGCATGTACATAGGAAACATCAAACATGTAAATGATGTGGCCTCTACTCCTGCCTTCAGTTAACATAAATTAATTTAATACGAAAAGTACATGTGAGAATGCCAATGGCCAATAGCAAGTATTCATGTGAAAATCGATTATCGCTCAAGCAGAACATATTTTAAATTGTGGAAATGTTAATGAGAGGGCCCCTACTCGCATTGCTAAGATGCTAAGACCTGCAATCCGCACGAGACGAGTAGGCAACAGATACAGCGAAACATCGAACTGTATTAGGTACCTACTCCACGAAGACAGAATGAACCACTCGCACACACAAACATCGAAACATCAAATAAGAGAGCCCCCCTTCGTATAGCTAACGCACAAGAACTACAGCGCGCCACGAATAAGAAAGTAACATATACAGCGAATAATCAAACTGGATTAGGTACTTCCCTCACGGAATAGTTACGGATCAATCGAACAGAGCAACATCGCACTGATAATCAACTCCTCGTGAATACAGAAATAAATACTTAATAAAACGAAATAATGGCATAATCATCTGTACAGTATAACAAACACGATTCATCTAACGGTACTCAAAACAAAGACATGGTGTACGCATGATTCAGGTATCGTAGTTTATGCAAAATCAGCAAAATGTAAATAATATCAAATTATGGCAAGAAATTCAATGATTAACTAGCTAGTACAAGAAAGAATAAAATGGTTACTACCTATAAATACACCTCCAAACTACCACCACCAAAATAATCAAGAATAAAAAAACGGGGACGCTTGATCATAGAACAACAAACTTAGAATGGAAACTGTAATGTATTGTAAAAATGACGCGCCATCTCGTGTATGTTCTCAGCAGCTTTTGCGTGAATGGCGCCAAATTTAAATATTAAAATGTAAGCTACGTCCGCATTATACTGAATTTCTCCGGATCTGTAACAGTAACATTGGATTTGACTAGCTGAAACCTAAAAGGTAAATAAATCCAGCCAGTGAAGTCCAATTTTGTTTGTTAGGGATCCAAATAAATTCAGTTTAATGACGATGCACCTCACCAGTCAGAGTCTTCGAAGAGTACATGGCACTTGTTTTATAAGTAAGAACTCCAATTAATCCAATCAAGGAGTTATATTTAATTTAATACGATTATACAAGATACAAGATCAACTTCATGGAACATCTACTGTATGATGCTCTCGAGATCGTTCTAAAAACAAAATATGTAGCAATTTATTACAATTCAATTAGTGTTACCTGCTAAATATAATGTGCGAACTGCCACACAGTTTAAATCTCTTCGTGTTCCAGGTTCTAAAGCACAGTCAGAAAAATGACGTTCACAAACCAAAAACTTTCTTTCACATTATATTCTAAACCAATTCTTAAAAACTTCGGGCTCCATTTTTGAGAAACGTCTTCACAATTTGTCACACAACATTTACGTTCTCGACTTGTATATGCATAATTCATTGTAATAATGAATAGTAATTATACTTAAAGAACAATAAGCCGTCAATCAAAATTCAACTGTCATAATGGCGAACACGCACTAAAGTCACTAGATTTAGTAACTTTAACACGCACGCTAACTATGAGCCATCTATTGAATGTTCTCCAAACTAATTATATTTGTACTCAGTTGTTCCCGTTTACGTTTTTTTTTTTTGTTTTTTGTTCTGGGCGCTTGATGCCTTCATATATATAAGAGATCTTATAACGGGCGATCAAGAATGAGTGACTGTCGAGTCGCCTTTGAAAGTTCAAGTTAAGTAGGATTTCCCATGTAAACAAAAATTCCAAAAGTGACTAGACGGTCACTCATTTTTGATCGCTATGCATATATGGATGCCTTCTTTCCATATATATAAGAGGAATATATATGCTTCTTTCGACCTCATCGCCATCTTCTTCATTCCCCTAGTTTTGTTACGAAAATCCCCTAGTATTCGGCATTCGCAAAACGGTCGATTGGTTATATAGTATATACAGAGCATATCATATTTTTGTTTCAGAAGTAATGGTGTGTTGCCTAACTATAAGGGTGGATTATAATAAACTATTTCCGTTTTCCGTTTATAGCTTCGTCAGTTTCTAATTTGCATTTTGCTGTATTGTTTACATATAAAATGCAAAGTTCCTCTTCGTTTGGATACGCAAGACTTTGGTCTACTGAGAAACCGGGAACAGCTCATAACAAAATAGATGGCTAAAACAACACACTGTATGAATTTCAACGTCAAAAATATCGAATTAATGATTAATTTGGCTAAAAATATCCCATAGTAAAATAACCAACAACTGGAGGGTAGGTAGATTTGGAAGTACTGCCACCGTTATGAATTATGAGGAGGCTCAAGATCGTTACAACAAACTTGCTCATTCATCCAATGGTAATTCAGTAATCAAACAAGTAAAAGAGGGCTCTCCGTTCAACCGTTGCTTTAAATTGTCAAACGGATTAATGAACGGATGAACACTGACGAATTTGTGAAACCCATCTCAATAACTTACACCCATCTCTAATCAGAACATGAAACGATATATTCCGAAGACCTGTCGAGCTAGCACGAAGAAGTTTCAAAAATGTGTAACGGTCGCTTAATGTTTGGTGTTTGAAAACAAGTACAAAAGTGCCCTAATAAAATGTTTCACATCAATTTTGTAATACCACAAAACAAGAATGAACTATTAAGCGACAACGATCGCCAATATTACGTACGTAACGTTATCAGTACCAGAGAAATTCAACTGAAATTACGAGGTTAGCTCCATACACTTGTCTCGAGCTCTTTCATTAAACTACTCTTTCGTAGAGGCCAAACAGTGTCTAAAAGATGAAGGACCCGAATTTATTTTCGACAACTTCGACACTTACTACTCCATACTACACCATGCAGATTCGTTAGATATGGAAATCATCATCAAATCGTACGAGGTGTTGCAAAAAGGTACGCTCAGTAAAAATTACCAAAGTCATCCCACATTTCCTTTGTAGCCATGCAAGAACTAAACAATAATCTTAACTTCCTACTGCAAGACAAGGACAATTTGAACGAAGAATTTAACTCGAAATACGTCAACGTTCTTAAAATGCTCGTTTACGTGTACAGCCAGACCGTTATCTTGGTGGAACAAAAGCTGGAATCGAAACGGTCACAGACCCTCCAACAGAAGGGACGTCAACGTAAAAAGCAGCCGTCTCTCGATTGTTACGATTTCGACAAAAAGCTCGTGTTAGTTACGCTTAGCAACGTCGTGCAGCACGAAATCAATCTTTTTTGGGACCCGCCCGTTGTGGAGGACACGTTTATTACGTAAACCTCTTTCTATTGCTTGTCGCCGCAAATTCGCTTCTCATTTTAGCTTGGTCGCCGAGGTGTGCTATCGTTTCCTCGAAAGTTCGACGATCAAATCTGAGAAGGAGGTGTGCACCGAGCTGCTGAGCACGTTGGGCGTGCTGATCAAGTCGTACAATCACGGCATGACGTTCGTCGTGCGCATCGTGCAGCTGATAAAGATACACGACTTTCTCAGCCACTGCGTTCCGCAGGGGATACAGCTGCTCGTCAAGAATTATCACTGTAAGAGTCTGATTCGCGATTTCGTCCAGGAGATAACCGAGTGGCAGACGGATGAGAAGTTTCAGGATTTACAGGGTGGACGTAATTGCGCAGCCGTTCTGTTCGAAATGGCGAACCTAATGCCCGACCTGATGATTCCCGAAGTGATGTATTTGACCCGTTATCTGGCACACGAGGTATATTTGCGAATTTTTTTGAATTCTTAATTTTCAGTTTGGTTTCTATTGGTCGTTTGTCAATATCAATTTATTTTTGTATCGTTTTGCGAACGCGCATTTGAATTTTTTGTGGCGCACCAAGTGTCACATGATATGATATCCCTATGTATCTTGATCCCCCTACCAACGACGAAAAAGAATCGTTTAGTAGGCGAGGGGGAGTTAGTGGAGGAGTGCAAACAGGACGGCGGAGGAAAGGCGTCGGCACATTCCTCCCCCATGCATAATATTGTACGAATGTCGTCCTATTTTAGAAAATTTCCCCCGCGCCCTACCCTTGGTCGGTGGAGAGCTTTTGTATGCCGTTGCCTAGTAGACGTTTAGAAGAATTAAAAACCGAAAATTAAAAAATAGAAAAATCAAAATTTCTAGATGACAAAAATAAAAAAAATTTAAATATTTGAAAGTTGTTAGCAAAAAATAAAAAATTAAAAACAAATTAAAAAATTTAAAAAAATAAAAAACTACCAGAATTCAACCTGAGATTTCAAGAATCAGACAAATCGAAATTTCTAAATAAAAATTTTAAAAAATTGAAAAAATGCATAAACATTCTTTAAAATTCTGAAAACAAGAAAACTGAAAAATTTAGAACCCATAAAAATTACCTACGTGTTTGAAAAATGGGAATTTGATGAATTTAAAAACAATTGAAATGCTAATTTAGGAAAAATTTAAACATTCAAAAAAATCACAAAAACATACAGTTCAACAGAATTTGATGAACATTTTGAAAAACAGATAATCTAAGGAACGTCGAAAATATTCCGGAAAATGCTGAAATTTAAACATTCCAAATTAAGAAATTAAAAAAAGACGAGACTAAAAAATGTTCGCTAGAAATTAAAAAAGAAAAGTCGTACAAACTACTATAAAATGTTATTTTAATGAAAACCAAAAAAAATCATATGAAATTAATAAATAAATCTAAAATTCAAAATAATAGAAATATTAAAAAATTAAAAATTGAAAATGTTTAAACTTAAAATACGGAAATTCTGCAAAAATTTAAATAAAATTAAATTTAAAATCCATAAATTAAAAAAAAAACTCAACATGTAATGAATTGAAAACCCGAGAATTCAAAAAATTTTTTGATGCCGAAAATTTATAAAAAATTGTAAATCATACATTTTTTAAAATTAAAAAAAAAGAATTAAAGAATTGAAAACGATTTGGAAAAATTACAAGAATTTGGTAAATTTAAAAATTCGGAGACAATTGATATTGATACAAATAGAAAGGAAATGAAAAAGTTAAAAATTCAAAGAATTAAAAACATTTAGAATAAATTGGTAGATTCACAACATACATTTTAGAAGAAATTGATGTTGAGTAGAAATTTCAAAATGCACAAAATTAAAAACATCCCGTAAATCAGATAATTTAGAAAAAATTAAACAAATTGAACCGCGATAAATTTGAAATTAAAAATTCGGAAAAGGAAAACGATTTAGAAATTCAGTATTCAAAAATGAAAAAGATTTACAATAAATCGAAAAAAATTGAGAAATAAATACATTGAAATTTTAAAAAATTAAATAAAGGTGTAGATTTAGAAAATCGCAATTTGAAAAATTCAGAAAACAACTACCTAATTCAAAATCGAAATTTGTAAATATCAAAAATTAAAAAACATTAAAAAAAATTTTTTTTAAATAAAAATTTGAATAAACAATTTAGTCCTCGCATCTACAAATTTTGATTTGTATAATTTTTAAAATTTTTTAGTGTAGTTTTGAATTTTTTATTGATTTCCATTTTTAAAATTTCTACTCTTTCTAAATTTTTATTTTAATTTTATTTACATTTTTGACATTTTTAAGTTTCCGATTTTTTAAATTACACATTTTATTTATTTTTTTAATATTTTTTTGAATTTTCGATGTATTAAAATTCCATACATATTTATAAACTAAAAATTTTTCGAATCCTTAATTTCTATAAATTTTGATTTATATCCTCAAATTTTTTTCTTTAATTTTTCTAATTATTGCGTAAAAGGTTTTTGAATTTTTGAAATGTTTTGAAGGATGTCTGTTTATTAATTTTTTTGAAGTATAGAAATGTTTGCATTTTTCTTAATTTCTCGAATTTTCAATTTTTCAAATTTTTAAAAATTTTCAAGATTATTTTTTCTGAATGTTTTTAATTTTTGTGCGTATTTTTCACAAATTCTACTTAAATTTATGTTGTGAATCTACCAAGTTCTAAAAGTTTCTAATTTTTGTTTTTTACCTTTTAAATTTTATTTCAATTTGTATTAATATCAGTTGTCTTAAAGTTTTTGCCTTCAATGTCCGAATTTTTTGGATTTTAAATTCTCTATCTTTTAAAAGTTTTATTTAAATTTTTGCCAATTTTCAAATTTTCATTTTCGGCTTTTTTAATTCTGCACTTTTTTAATTTTTATAATTTTTTATTTCGGTCCTCTTCAAATTTTAATTTATTTGCGAATTTTTTCATTTTTTGGGCAATTTTCTGTAATTGTTAGGTGAAAGTTTTTTGAATTTTTAAAATGTTTTACAGGAGTTTGAATTTTTATTTTATTTATAATTCACTTAACATTTACGTTTTAATTCTCATGAAATTTTAATTGTTTCGGGCATTTTTTAATTGTAAGTACGATTTTTATTGTCAATTTTTTAGTTTTTCGTTTTTTCAATTTCTCAATTTTAAAAATTTTAGAGTTTTTTCATTTTCCTGAATGTGTATGAACTTCCTTAGATTTTCCTAAAGTATCTGTTTTTAGAAATGTTTCTAATATTTAAAACTCGGTCATTAAATTAAAAAATGTAAATGTGCTCTTTTTTGTGATTTTTTTTGTGTTTTTTTTTAATTCTTCAATTTTCTATTCAAATTTTTGCTTTTCTAAATTTGTTTTAAGTGCATCAAATTGCGACTTTCCAAATTGTTAATTTTCAAGCATTTTTATGAATTATTGATTATTTATTGTTAATTTTAAGTTTTATTTTCTTGTTTGTGAACTTTTTGTAACTTGTTTAATTTTTAGGAATTTTGTTTTTCTTCAAACTCACTGGAATTTTTTTAATTGTCTGAATTTTTTTATTTTCTGTATTTTAAATTTTATTTTAATTCAAATTAATTTTTTTAAATTCAAATCCAATTTTAGTTTTGCGATTTTCTAAATACACATTTTTAAAATTTTTAATGTTTTTGTTTCTTAATTTGTTTGAATGTTCGTTTTATGGTGATTTATCATTTTTTAATACTGAATTTTTTCGAAATTTTTGAAATTGTTACTCGTCATCAAATTCTACTAAAATTTATGTTGTGAATGTGTTCTAAATGATTCTAATTCTTGAATTTTTTTTCAACTTTTCAATTTCATTAAAAATTTGACTTCTTTGAGTTTGTTGGTTTTTGGGGGGGGGGGATCTCTCATTGTATTCTAATTGAAGGTCTCAACGAACCGTTTTCTACCAACTGCTGCCCTTTTTTCTGTCCTCTTATCAAAGTATCGGTTGGTGGGGCCGGGGGGGGGGGGGGAGTGGAACTTTATCTTTTATCCTTCATGGTACTCTTATGAAAGGTCTCAACTAAAGGAATATAATATAATTATATAATATATAATATAATCTCTACCAACCATAGCCCTCCTCCTCCTCGACCTCTTATCGTGATCGGGTATATTCCCTTATACCTCAAGAGCGGATTGTCGGAAGAGGATACTCACAAAGGGCGATTGAGACATCTGCAAGAAATATATCCATTGGTGATGTCAAAATAAAATTATTTCGGTTAAAAAGATGCGCTTTATCTTTTTTAAATTACATTTTTAATATTTTTTCAATTTTTCTATTTTTTAATTTTTGTCAAGTTTGGATGTATATAATTCCATATGATTTTTTATTTTTCAGAATTAAACAAAAAATTATCCGAATTTTTAATTTCATAATTTTTTAAATTTCAGAGTTGTTAAATTCCTCAAATTCTCGTGATTTTTTTTATTTTCAAGAATTTGTTTAAATTTTTTCAATTTTTTTCATCTTTTACAAATTTCTCTGTATTGGTGTGAATGTTGGTAGTTTTTTTTAATTTTCTGAGATTTTTGTTTTATTTCTATTTTTATTTTTTTGGATTTTCTAAATCTAAGTACACATTAATAACTGTAATTTTTAATGTTTTTGTTTCTTAATTTTTTGAATTTTTGAAATTCTTTCTCATTTTTTAATACTGAATTTTTGAATTCTATAAATGTGTATATCAATCAGTTTTAATTTTTTCAGTCGTACACGTTGCGCAATTCCGTTTTGCACGTAATAACGGAGGTCGTCCTAAACGTTCTCACCAAAAACAATTTAACCGAGGAGCAGCGCGAAAGTCGCGACGAATTTCTCTCGATACTAATGGATCATATTCGCGATACGTCCGCTTTGGTCAGGACGAAGGTTTTCCAACACTGGTCCCGTTTGCAGCAGGAGAACGCCATCCCCGTGAAGATTCAGAGCGAGGTTCTGTCGCGCGCGGTGATGCACCTGCGCGATAAGGCGGCGAACGTTCGCAAGACCGCCGCCAGTTGCGTCACCACGTTTCTCTCCCACAACATCTACTCGTCAAGCGTAACGTCCCGCGCGTCGTTCCTTCACCCCAAATTAACGTGTAAGCGTTTTAGTTGCAACTGGACAAAATTCAAAAACAGCTCGAGATTGACACCGAAAACTTGAAAAATTTGAAAGCGAAGCTCGAGGATAGTCACGTGAGTAAGATCAACGAGTTGACGGAGCAGTGGAATTCGAAGGAGGCTGATCTGATTGCTGTCATAACCGAGCAGCTGCAAGACGAAGAGTTAATGGCGGAACGCAAAAGTTCGCAGGTTTCCGAAAGGCACCTCCCCGATTTGATACGCATGTATGTGCTCGATAACAAGTTTAAGGAGGCCTTTGAGATTTGCTGGGCTGCTGATGCGTTACCGGAATGGGAGGAAATGAAGTAAGTTGTTTTGTTTTTTAAAATTTTCAAATTCGCTGAATTATTTGAATCTTTATGAATTTCATTTTTCTTTTTTGAATGTCAAATTTTTTGAATTTTTTAATTTTTTGTAGTTTTTGATTCCGCCCCTTTCAATTTTATAATTTTTGTTGCTGCCTTCTGTCCCTGAAACACTTGCGTAAATTTATACCTATTTCTATCTGGGGAAAAACATCTTTTAATTTTTTAATATTTTTAACGTTTTTAGTTATTTTAAATTTTTTTTTAAATTGTTTATTTTTGTTTTGTGAAGTTTATAACTGCACCAAGTTTGAATTTTCAGGTACATACAGGGAATTATATTGTGGTTCGCTGGTGCGGGAAATCAATTTTTAACTTTTGGGCATACTTTCTGTAATTTTTTATTTCTCAAATGTTTGTATTTTCCGAATTTTTCCGAATTTAGTTTTTTTAAAGCCATTGTCCAAGTTTTTTAATTTTTTTGTTAAAATTATAAGATCTTTTTGGAATATTTTTGAATTTTTTAATCTCTTGTGTGCTATACTTTCGAAAACAGAATTTAATATGCTATTTTAGGCGTCACATTCAAAGATAGCATACCATATTCTTTTTCCAAAATTTAACACTAAAAATTTAAAAAAATTCTTTATTGATTCAAAAATATTCAAAAAAGATTTTTTTAATGTAAAAATCTTTTTTGAATATCGTCCCGTGTGTTATATTTTTTAAAGCAGATTTTAATATGCTATTTTTAGATTTAAAAATATACAGGGCCTTAGCATACCATATTCTTTTTCCAAAATATACCACTAAAAATTTAAAAAAATTCTTTATCGATTCAAAAATATTCAAAAAAGATTTTTTTAATGTAAACATCTTTTTTGAATATCGTCCCGTGTGTTATATTTTTGAAAGCCGAATTGAATATGCTATTTTTAGATTAAAAAATATACAGAGCCGTAGTATACCATATTGTTTTCCCAAAATATACCACTAAAAATTAAAAAAAATTGTTTGATTCAAAAATTTTTTTTAATGTAAAAATCTTTTTTGAATGTCGCCCCTGTGCTATATTTTTGAAAGCAGAATTTAATACGCTATTTTTGGATTAAAAAATATACAGGGCCTTAGCATACCATATTCTTTTTCCAAAATATAACACTAAAAATTTTTTAAATGTAAAAATCTTTTTTGAATATCGTCCCGTGTGCTATATTTGTTAAAGCAGAATTTAATATGCTATTTTTAGATTAAAAAATATACAGGGCCTTAGCGTACCATATTCTTTTTTCAAAATAACACTAAGAATTAAAAAAATTCTTTATTGATTCAAATATATTCAAAAAAGATTTTTTTAAATGTAAAAATCTTTTTTGAATATCTCCCCGTGTGTTATATTTTTGAAAGCAGAATTTAATATGCTATTTTTATATTAAAAAATATACAGGGCCTTTCAGAAAAAATGAGGTTATGTCCGATAACTTTTTTTTGCCTGACCCCATACATGTACTTATATTGAAAACGGCACCTTGTATATTTTAATGTAAAAAGTTGCATATTATATTCTCTTTTCAAAAATATTCTTTATTGATTCAAAAATACTAAAAAAAGATTATAGAAAAATTCAAAAATCTAAATCTAAATATCTTTGTTTTGAATGATTTGAGCTTTTTATAATTTTTTTAAGTTTGTTAAATTCTTTTGAATATCATCCCAATCAATTTTCTAGATTAAAATATACATTCAAAAAATGAGGTTAGGTCTGATAGATTTTTGCCTGACCCCGTAGGTATTATCTTGAAAATGGCACTTTGAATATATTTTAATGTAAAAAATAGCATATTAAATTCTCTTTTAAAAATATATCACTAAATTCAACATATTTTATTCAAAAATATTAATATTTTTGAATGGGTTTTTTTCATCACTTGAAACTTTTTTTTGAAAACAATTTAATATAGGTACTATTTTTTACATTAAAATATATAGGGCGTTCCAATTAAAATATAGGTTCGATAACCTGATCCTGTATATATTGAAAATAGCACCTTGTATATTTCAATCTAAAAAATAGCATATTATATTCTCTTTCCAAAAATATCACACTAAAAAAAATCAAAAATCTGTATGAAATGTTTTTTTTAACCATATGACCTTTTTTGAAATTTTATTGTCCTTGGTGTGCACTATTAAAAAAACAGAATTTAATATGCTATTATAAAATGAAGATATACAGGGTGTTGTATTTTTTTAAATCTTTTTTTTAATATCCCTTGTGTGTGATATTTTTGAAAACAGAATTTAATATGCCATTTTTTAGATTTAAATATGCAGGGCGTTCCATTTGAAAATTACGTTAGTTCCGATACCTTATTTACCTGACGCCGTATACATATAACGGGCGATCAAAAATGAGTTGCTGTCGAGTCGCCTTTGGAAGTTCAAGTTAAGTACGATTTCCCATGTAAACAAAAATTCCAAAGGTAACTCGACAGCAACTCATTTTTGATCGCATTGTATTAAAAACGGAACCTTGTATATTTTCTAAAAAAATATTATTTTCTCTTTCCGAAATCACTAAAAATAAATCAAAAAATTGAATGTTGATTCAAAGATATTAAAAAATATTTAAAAAAATTCCCATCATCCGGCCTAGCTGTAATTTAAATTATTAGTTCGCCCTATGTCATCGTTTGTTTTACTATTCCATGAGCTAACTTTTTGCCTGACCCCGTATACTTATATTGAAAACGGCACCTTGTATATTTTAACCTAAAAGCTCTCATATTAAATTCTTTTTCCAAAAATATATATCACTAACAATAAATCAACAAATTCAATATTTATTCAAAAATATTTCAGATTAAAAAAAACTTTTTTGGAAAACATAATTTAATATGCTATTTATTTAAATATTTAAAAAATGAGGTTAGGTCCGATAACTGTTTACCTCACTCCGTCTTGAAAACGACAGCTTGTATATTTTAATAATAGCTCTCTTCTCTTTCCAAAAATATAACACTAAAAAATGCAATGTTGATTCAAAAAGATTAAAAAAAGGTAAAAAAATTCAAAAAACTTTTTGAAATCTTTTCGGATTTTTTTAATTTTGAAAACTTTTGTAATCTTTTTATTATCTCTTGTGTACTGTGTGTATGCTATTTCTTAGATTAAAATACACAGGGTGTTCCATTTAATTCCATTAAAAAAATGAGTTTAGGTTTGATGACTTTTTTACCTTTTGAAAACGGCCAGTTATTCAACAATCATTATAAAGAAACTTTTGCAAAAAACATTATTCTGTATCTCTTTTAAGTCTTAGGGTCACTCTGAAATTGACAATTTTTTATGTAACCCCCTATCCCTTAAGCGAGCGACTATTTTCAAATTTTACCATTTTAAGTTTGAGCCAAAAAGAATACATGACACCTGTATTACTTTTTTGATAGCACTAATAATTATGGAGGTCGAAATGGGACATCCTGTACAATTTCCGTATTTTCTTAATTTGTCGGTTTTTTTTTCAATTCTTGGAATTTTCTTAATGCTGCTGATTTTTTTAATTTTTATGCATCAGGATTTTTAATTTTTACAATTCGGAAATTTTTGTCTACATGTTTTCCGCCCTTCTGTAATTTTTTTCCGAATTTTGTTTTGAATTTTCCCGAAAATGTGAAGTTCTGTGCACAATTACGGTATTTTTTGCTTTTCATTTTTCGTTTTTTTTTAATTTTTGAAAATTTTTCTTGGAATTATTTCTACTTCATCAGTGACCATTCTTTTCCGAAAAGACTTTTAAACTTCTATGAATGTGAAATTCTTTTTTCCCTTATTTTTGACGAGTTTTTTGAATTTTTTGAATTAGAATTATTTTAAAATATCTAATTTCAGTGTTTACCAATAATTTTCCATTTTTTTATAGCTCTTCTGAATTTTTAATCTTTTTTGGAATGAGGTTTTTTAACTTTTTGAATTTCTGTGAATTTCTCCAAGTGCAAGGGGGGGAGGGGGGCACAACAACGTTCCGCATTTTCACAATTGCTGTAATTTTTTATTTATTTCCGAATTTTTTTAAATTTTTAATTGTTTTCTTTAGAGATGCCATAGACGAGGGGGAGAAGGTGCAGATGTTCGCAACTTTAATACGCACAATTTTCATGGACATAACGTCGCTTAATCCCGACGAGAATTCAACCGCCGTCGTCACCGAATCGGATCTAGCGCAGCTGGTGGCTCTGGAAACGAGCGTCGAGTTCTTAACGCGCACCGCCGATTTTCTGCGGTTGATCGATAGCGCGATCAAACCGATGAGCGATTTGCTCGAGTCGGCTTCGGTGAGCGACATGCAGGAAGCGATCGAATTTTTCGTAACCGCATACAAGTTCAACATCAACAACGCCCTCTTTGGCGTCCTAGAAATGCTGAAGATCATGCAGAGGAACGAGCAAGAACGTAAGGACCACGTCATTGACGCTTTCAAATCAATATACCTAACGACGGATTCCACGACCATGAGGTAAGTTGCTATCGTTTTCAGTTTTCGTATATAGGGTGTCTTAAATTGAGTAGGATAACATGGCTATCTTTGTTATTATTATACTTACGGTTTCGTAGATAATTGGAAAAAAGTGAAAATCGCATCAAATAAAAGTTGCAAGATTGGATGGGATAAATTCAATGAACGTAGAAAAAAAAATTTTAAAATGGCGGTTTCCGAGATATTGACATCAACTTCCTTATTTTAAATGGACGCCATATTGGATTTTTTTACGTTATTCGATAGTCTACAATATATTTCTTATGGCAATAATTCCATGGCTGATTATGATTGAAACCAAATTCTTTGTTTATTGTCTCGCATAGTCACCATCGACACGGCCATGGAATTATTGCCATAAGAAATACATTGTAGACTATCGAGTGACGTAACAATCCAATATGGCGTCCATTTTAGATAAGGAAGTTGTCAATATCACAAAAACCGCCATTTTGAAATTTTTTTTACGCCCATTGAATTTATCCCATCGAATCTTGCAACTTTGTTCCATAGCTCTCTTTGTTACTAAAATATTTGAACTTTTTAAAAATATCGATTTTCACTTTTTTCCAATTATCTACGAAACGATTTATTTTTTTCAAAATATCGCATCGGAATATCCATTAGCATCACAAACTACACAACTTTGCCAATTTAACCGAACCTGTATAATTATAATAATAATATGTAAATAAATATAATAAATAATAATAAAGATAACCACAATTTGTAGGGAGCACACGACGATAATCGTCGAACGTCTGATTAACCTTCTCAAAATCGTCCCGTACCGAAACTACCAAGATCTAACCTTGATCATAGCCGAGTGGGTCTCGAAGTCGATCCTCGACAACAGCATCATCGACCAGCTGTGGCAGTACTTTACGAAGAAGGCGGACGTTAGCGACGAGCACGCGCGCGCCGCCCTCACTCTGCTAACGATGGCGACGATGGGACGCCGCACGATCGGATCGAAGAACATCAGGCTCGTGGCGGCGGTGGGTTTCGGACCGCGCGCCGAAAACGACATACTGCTCTTGAAGGGGGCGTGCGAGTTTCTGCAGCAGGCCGGACGCGAGAAGCAGGACATCACCGATTCGAAGCCGCCGTTCAAAATTAAGGCGAACGATCCGATGTGGAAGAGCCTGATCGAAAATGTCTGCAATAGTTTTTATCGCAGTAACCCTTTTTATAACGGGATGATTACTAGTGCCATCGGATGTATTTATCGTGTACGTATTTGCTATCCTAGTGCAACTTTCACTGTCATATTGTTATATCGTTTTTAATTATTCAACAGTAACTAATTATTATTATTATTATTTCATAGATAAACAAATACTCGTAAATTATATATTAGCAAACACCGCAAAAAAAAATTGAAAATTCTGTAGAGCTATAAAAAAATGGAAAATTATTGGCGAAAAATGAAATCAAAAGTTTTAAAATAGTATGAATTTCAAAAAATTCCAAAAAAACTCGCCCAAAATAATAGAAATAAAGAATTTCACATTGGTAGAAATTTAAAAGTCTCTTCGGAAAAGAATGGTCACTAATGTTGAAGAAGAAATAATACCAAGATAAATTTTCAAAATTTTTAAAAAAACAGAAAATTAAAAATCAAAAATATACCGTAATTGTGCATTTCAAATTTTCGGGAAAATCCAAAACAAAATTTAGAAAAAATTTCGAGAAGAGGATTTAAAAAAAAATTGAAAAACGTAGATAAAAATTTCCGAATTATAAAAATTTTAACAATCCTGACGCATAAAAATAAAAAAAAAGGCAGATTTAAGAAAATTCCAAGTGTGCCTCCAAAATAAATTGTAGTATAATATCATAACTTTGCCAGAATTAAAAAATCTGACAACACGGAAATTGTACAGGCTGTCCATTTTGACGTCCCTCATTGTTGTACTATCAAAAAAGTAATACAGGTGTCATGTGTTCTTTTTGGTTTAAATTTAAAATGTTACAATTTGAAAATATTCGCTCGCTTAAGAGATACATAAAAAATTGTCAATTTCCCTAAGTATTCAGCAAAATTTTGAAAATTGGGAAAATTCAAAAATTTGAGCTTGACAAGATGTAGAATGGTTGAAATGGTTTCAGCTTTGAAATAAATTTATAACAATTAATTAAAACAAATTCGAAAAAATCAAAAAAATTCTGAAATATTGGCAGAATGACAGGAAACATGTCCGTTTACTAAGTTTAAAACGGCAGCTCCAGCTATTCTAAAGGGCAAGCGGTGGGTGAATGCTAAAACACAATTAAAGCGCCCAGCTTTTTTTGTTCCTAAGCGGGAACAGTAAATAATCTAATTCGGTAGCGGTATCTACGGGAAAGCAAATGCATGAAAGCGGAACAATCTGTAGATCCCATATGACGATTGTTTTTATTTGTAGAAAGTTGCGTTTTGCGCTTACGCATTAGGATTTTTGGCGCATGCACGACAATTTAGACGTGGACGATTGATATAGGAGATCAATATAAAAAATCGCATCGTTCTAACCCTCTTCGTTTCCGTATAAACGCCAAAATATCACAAAAATCCACAATTTTGAGGGGGGTGGGGGACATGTAACCCATATGTAAATGGCCAGTCTCACGTTTCTATAGGACCGTTGACACATTGCTCGGCTTCGCCTCGCGCATTTACACAAATCGCGGTCGATTCTAGAACGCGAGCGATCGATATAGGAACCCAAAGTCAAAAACGGCATGCTTCTAACCCTCGTCTTTTCCAAATAAACCCCATAAGGGAAGAATACAATGTATGAGCAATTTAGGGGGGGGGGGCGACATAGGCAAATGGCTCGTTGGAAACATCGTGACGTCTTGCGTCCGATTCACTACCTCCGTCTTTCCGAAACGCATTTTCCTTTTTAACCCCCCCCCCCCCCGGCCCAGTGGAATTGGGTTTATGCAAAAATTACAGATGGACGTGTTCCCACGTATACCTACTCCAGATGGTGAAAGTTTAATTAAAAAGTAAGATCCAGTTTTCGAGTAATTCACGAAAAAAACGTCACCTCCTCGTCCTCCCCACGTCCCCGACCTCCCGCGATCTAACCTCGACCCAGATTAATTAATTAATTAATAAAAATGTTTAAATTGTATCTTATTTGACGTATTTCCGATATTTGTTGATTCTCGTTGCCCAAGGAATGCTCTTTTCAACGATACCAAATTTGTTACAATCGGACAACGGTTAAGAAGTTAAAGCAGGCCGGTTATTGCAAAAACAATTGAACGCCCCACGCCATCTTTGTTTTTGAAATAACTGAGTTTTTGTTTTTACGAAAATGATAGACAAACTGGTTATCTTTAAAAATGTGAAAAAATTTATTATGCAAAATTTAAAGAAAATGCAATTTTAAAACTTAAGATGGCAGTTACGCCCCCTGTTGATCATTTTGAAAATATTTTCCAGCGATTCTTCATGACCGATTTACCCAATCATAACTGTCTTATTGGGTCTCCCGGTATCTACCTAACGTAGATTTCTGATAGTTTATTATCTTTACTCTCCTTTTCAAAACGTAACTAAATTCAGAATAGAGTTTTATATTTGCAGCTATGTTCAAAACCGGAAAAAATCTGTGAAGATCTGGTGGAAAATTTATTTAACTCGTTACGAACAGAACTCTCTAACAATCCAACCCTGGACGGTTACTTGATTATACAAATTACGCACTTACTCGGCGAAATTGCCGTGAAGGAGTTGAACTTTCTCGACGAATCGGTGTATAAGGAGCTGAAGCGGCGCAATTACATTCGCGAAGAGCGCAAATGCACCACGAAAAATAAGAAAGCGGTGAAAGTGAAACAGGTTCAGAACGCCTCCGCTTTGAAGCGTGGCAGCAGCAACGCGACGAACAACCAAAGCAGTCTCGCCGATGACTCGACGGCCGCAGTAAGTTTTTTCCCGCCTCCTCAAAATTGCGTCAAGATGTTGCTTTCAGGGTGACGAAAGTACGCTGGAAGGCGCACAGGCCGACGACACCGATGCCGAATTCATCTTGAACGTTCTCGAGAATAACACCGTGTCGAAGACGAGCGGACTGGGAAAGCTCGCACCGATTATTGTTCGCGTATGCCAACAGTCGGACGTTTACGACGACGAGCGCGTTCAAGGCACCGCGATCATCGCGCTTCTTCGCTATATGGCGGTCTCGAGCAAATTCTGTCAACAGCACATGCAACTCGTGTTCACGATCTTGGAACGGACGAAGTATCCGATCGTAAAATCGAACATCATGATTCACTGTTCGGATCTATTGGAAAGGTTTCCGAACATCGTCGAGCCGTGGACTCCTCGTATGTACGAAAGGTTAGTAATCTCACACATCACAGTAGAACAGGGACCCCCCCCCCGCCCCGCTGACGTCATCCAAGGTCAGGACCTTGGGTTTTCCCCAAGGTCATGGTCTTGGACTTTTACCTTGGGTTTTCCCAATGGTGTGGCATTGGACTTTCACTTCGGGGTTTTCTCCAATGACGTGGCCTTGGACTTTGACCTTGGATTTTTCCCCGATACCGTAGCTTTGTGATTTTCCATGGACTCGGATTTTGAACTGAAGATGCGGTTTTGGATTCAGGAGTGAGATCATGGTCTTGGATTCTGGATCAAAGGTGTGGTTTTGGCAAATTGTACATTTCAAGCAGGCGGGCAAGCAGAGCAGATCAAAAAAAGCTTGGGTACTTACAGATAAAAAATTGTTTAGTTCTTGTTTGAAGATCCTTATTCACTTACAAAAAAAAAATATGACAGGCGGCCGGACGAGAACTGAATTCGGAAAGCTATTTTTGCGATCGACAAACCAGTTAACCTTGGAGATCAATCCAAATGACTTTGTCTTATTGTACAGGGTCATGACCTCGGGTTTTTCCAAGACCATGGCCTTGGACTTTAACCTTACAATTTTCTCAAGGTCACTGCCTTGGAATTTGGCCCTGGGTTTTCCCGAGGTCGTGGCTTTGGGTTTTCCTTGATAATTTGTATAACCTCCATGACCTTGGGAAAAACCCAAGGCAATGAACTTGGGGAAACCCCAAGGCCATGTGACCTTGGGCATGACCTTGGATGGCGTCAGCGGGGGGGGGGCAAGGTTCCCCAGGGTCAGCAGGGGAGGAGGTGCCCTTGTTCTACTCATCACGATGCAGTAGTACGCATCCAAGGTGGTTACTCATTGCGTTTCAGATTGAGTGACCCGTGCGTCGACGTGCGAGTGAGCACGTTCTTCATTTTGGCCAACCTGATTCTGCGCGATATGCTACGAGTTCAAGGTCACATTTCGGAAATGGCGCGCTGCATTGTGGACGAGGAGGAGCAACTGCGCGACATGAGCAAAACCTTCTTTATACAGCTGTCCCACAAGGCGAACAACTTGTACAACATTTTACCCGACATATTCTCGCATTTGTGCGATAACGAAAACTTGGACGAGGCGAATTTAAAGCACATCATGAAGTAGGTTTCGGGCGCGAAGTGTTTCAAAAACGCTATTTCGGTATTTTAGGTTCCTCTTTGGCCTAATCGACAAAAATAAGCAGATGGAAAATCTGGTGGAGCGGTTCTGTCCGAAGTTCCGATTGACGGATGACAATCGGAAATGTCGAAATATCGCCTACTGCCTCTCGCTAATCCAGTACAATGAGAAGGGATTGCGAAACCTAATCGAGGGCTTCGGCTTTTACAAAAACGCCTTGCTGAACGAGGATGTCTACTCCGCGTTCCAGCAAATCGTGGCCACCGGCAATCGATCGACCAAAAACGAAATTAAGGTGCGTCATTCGCCCTGAAAGGTTTGTAACGCGTATCAATTTCAGGCACTCGCGACCGAATTAGAGCAGAAAATTAGCTCCGTTTTCGACGTAGACGAGAACGGTCAACAGGTCGGTACTCCAAATAGGCCGCCCAGGCCTGCGCAGCCGAAGTCGGCGTTCAAAAAGCCGAAGGGGAAAGCGCCGCTTAAGAGGGCTAAAAAGAAAAAGGTGGCGAGCGATAGTGATGACAGCGATTCTGAGGGGAAGGAGAACGTAAGACAGACAAGACGCGCACGAGCGCCACCACGAGTTATACGAGATGAAGATAGTGATTCAGACTAGTTTTTTTGTAGATATATGTTAATTTTATCATTAGTCTTATATTTATTGAGGTTACTACTTATGATGCATATCCTGTACCATTTTATAAGAAATTTTAGATAATGAGTTTAGACTTATTATTTCGTATAAATCTTGTTTCAAAAATGCGTGTACAATACGCTTCGTATCAGATTTTTCGCAAAAGGAAAAATTAGCTCTGTTATTGACCAGGTCTATAATGATCCTAGGGGTCTATGAAGTCGACACTGAAAACGTTGACTTACCCTATACTTACCTTTCAAGTCGAAACGATGGACGTTTCGCGGCACTTTCGAATTTGGTTGGCAATCGGCTCGATATGGATGGCACGAATGAACTCTTACATTGTGTAATCGGTTCTTGTATGTGTTGGGAAGTGAGACATAATCGGGAAGGGAATTAAATAAAAGACAGAACTTTTGTGCGTAAGAAATGACAAGAACAAATAAATATATTACGCACACAACAAGATCATACCAGGGAAACCTTCTACGGGACAAAAACCCTGGCATAGGTTACACAAATACATGAAATAAATCACCTACAGCAATAAAATGCAAGAGAAAATACACAAATTTTATGATAAAAACAGACAATCAAATCAAATGCAATTAAACAAGTTCATAAAAACAAAATACACAGGATATCAAAATACCTGTACGATCAATTGAGCTAACACAACTCGTAAAATAATAAATTGAATGTACATAGGAAACATCAAAATGGTGTGGCTCTACTCCAACCTTCATTAACATAATTTAATTTAACACGAAAAGTACATGTGAGAATGCCATTGGTCAATAGCAAGTATTCAGGTGAAAATCGATTATCGCTCAAACAGAACATATTTTAAATAGAGGAAATATTAATGAGAGGGCCCCCACTCGTATTGCTAAGATGTTAAGAACTACAATCCGCACGAGACGAGTAGGCAACAGATACAGCAAAAGATCGAACTGTATTAGGTACCTACCCCCTACTTAGGGACCACTCACACACACACAAACATCAAATAAGAGAGCTCCCCCCAATATCGCACTGATAATCAACTCCTCGTGAATACAGAAATAAATACTTAATAAAAAAACAATGGCATAATCACCTGTACAATATAACAAACACGATTCATCTAACTGTACTCAAAAACAAAAGCATGGAGTACGCCATATTCAGATATCTCAGGTTATACTTTTTGTAGACATATGCTAATTTTATCATGAGACCCATCTTTATCGAGGTTACTATTTAAGATGCATATCCTGTACCATTTTTTAAGAAATTTTGGATAAATGAGTTTTAACTTAATATTTAATTTAAACGAGTTATACGGGATGAAGAGAGTGATTCAGATTAGTTTTTTGTAGATATATGTTAATTTTATCATTAGAACTATCTTAACAAGGTTACTATTTAAGATGCATATCCTGTACCATTTTTTAAGAAATTGCGGATAAATGAGTTTTGACTTAATATTTAATTTAAACGAGTTATACGGGATGAAGAGAGTGATTCATACTAGTTTTTTATAGATATACGTTAATTTTATCATTAGACCCATCTTTATCAAGGTTACTATTTAAGATGCATATCCTGTACCATTTTAAAGAAATTTTGGATAAATAAGTTTTGACTTAATATTTAATTTAAACGAACACTAGCATCGCTTATGAATTATCTTGTTCCAAAAATGCGTGTGAAGTAGGTTGCAATACTCTGCGTATCAGATTTTCCGCAAAAGGAAAAATTCACTCCGTTTTTGACATAGATAAGAACGGTCAACAGGTCGATAGGCCGTTAGCGTTCAAAAAGCCGAAAGGGAAAGCGTCGGTTAAGAGGGCTGAAAAGAAATATGTGGCCAGCGATTATGAGGAGAAAGAGAACGTCAACCAAACAAGACGCGCACGAGCGCCACCACGAGTTATACAGGATGAAATCAGTGATTCAGACTAGTTTTTTGTAAATACATGTGTTAATTTCATCATTAGAAACATATTTATTGAGGTCACTACTTAGGATGCATATCCTGTACCATTTTTTAAGAAAATTTGGATAAATGAGTTTTGACAATATTTAATTTAAACGAACAATAGTATCGATTATGAATTATTCAAAAATGCTCTGTGCAATACGCTTCGTATCAGATTTTTCGCCAAAGAGTAGGATGCCATTCACGAATTTAAATGCGGTAAATAATCCAAATTGTCTACCCTCGCGTGCAAATGGCCCGAAATACAAGGTGACTTGCTCCGCAAATTCGTTTTTTTTAAACACTTAACTGAGGTAGAGTTCCATTGGAAATACTTCTAAAGCATCGAATTTCAATTATACAAACAGAGATAAAAAGCAGGATGGACTTTTGAAACGAGTAGCTCGGTCTTAAAGATAGCGAAACTGTGACAATCAGAAAGAAACGTAAACCTGATGAATCGATCTGAAAGTACTTCGGTCTCGGATCAGTGAAAGTTATGTAGCTAAAAATGGAGTCCACCTAAAATAACTGCTTAAATTTCTTTTTTTTACCCGATTAAGACTTTGATCTTGTTCGGGGTAACTACTCCGTTAATTTCAAAAACAAACACTGAATATTATTAAAAAAATGTTGTATGGCAAATACAAATAAATTTTAATTTGCAAAAAAATTACGACAGGATCCTCTTTCGACTGTAATATACGTCTGCGCATGTTGCAGATAAAGACAGCTTAAGTGGCACGAGGACAAGACAGATCGAGTGGCGCCCTTACAGACAGTGCAGGTTAAGAGGATAGCGATAATTAACAATGGTGACAGCGGTAATGTGCAAATTTTCAATTCGCAAATAAGGTTTTTATACTTATACTGCGTGTTTCAGTAGTTTAGTTTTAAATCTAAATTTTCAGTTTTTTAAGCTTCTCCCATTTGAGAAGTTCCACCCTGTGTAACGACGATACATAAATTTTTGAGAGTTGGTAACCATGCAATTTCTAGGTGAGAAAAAGCTGCCTGCGCCATCTAAAAAGCACGAACGGGGGTTACGTTTGACATCTTGTTTTGAATGGCGGTCGTGACCGCGTCGCTTCATAAATGTTTGTTATTATTTTGTGTTATTTAATGCAGGTAGTAATTTTTGCATTTCTTTATATCGTATTTGTCTTTTGTATGCCGCATTTTATATTTTGTGTGTTTGAATCTTTGTTTTAATTTACTTACTTGGTTTAGCCGCAATGCAGAATCACATATGTGATACCGTTATGCTATTGTTTGTAATTGTTTACGTTTTTGGTGTAATGCTTGTTTAATTTATATTTATTGATGTTGATTACTTGGTTTTGTCCCTGAAGTAACATTCATGTAAGTTTTGATCATTTTATTTTAATATGTGGAAATTACCGAGTTGTTTGACGTATGTACTGACTTGTTGTTTGTAACTAACATTTTCTCCGTGAATGAAGCAGTCACGGGCGTGGAAAAAAACTGTTGTCAAAATTGAGCTACAACACCTAATTCCATGATTGTCTTCGACATTTAACTGTAGGCTCGAAACCAGGGGCGGGTTACCTATCTTGCAGGAGCGGGATTACGCTAATCAAAGCTCTTCAGTTTAGAATCTATGTGCGATAAATGAGTGGCGATTCAATAATTTCCACATATCTTGTTTTTAGTTAAATTTGCCTACAAGGCCATGTAATTTTCCATCTTGCTTTTAACAAAAGGACTTTATTGCACCAAAGATGAGTCACATCTTGTGTATTTCACCCTTTCTTAGAATCTTGGTACCTGCTTACCTGACCCATAATTCCCAAAACTTTTGTTTAACCTACATGTTACCTCTTGAAGTTTACCTGCCCCTTTTTGTGATGTTATAATTTTATGTTACGCATTCACATCATTACAAACAATTAATTTTACAACACAATTTGTTATTAATTTGACTGGCTGTTTTTTTTATTGGTAAGTTCTTTTTTTCCCAGCCTATTTCTATTTTTATTCACTTTTATAGCCGTAAAAACTACAAAATTGATTACTTTTGGCTATTATAAATAAACAAAATCGCGATCTTAACCCACCAATATTAATTACAATGTGCCGCCACCAGAGGTCTCACTGTCAATCTGGATCGCGAATAAAAAGCACTTTATAACAATGAAGGTACACCACGCCACTGAAATTGACGAATTACTGGCACACCAAGCTCGACACTTCTAGGAAAAAGGACTAAGAGTTCCCAATATAGGACACAAAGGTTGATTTGTTCGAAACAAGTGCATGTTACTCTTAAAGTATACTAAATGACCCAAATTTTCAACAAGCAACTGTTTATTGTCTAAGCACTCTAAGCAACATGTTTGTTATTCAAAATTTCGATCCAATATCCGTCCGGATCGGCAATAAACGCGATTGTTTTCATTTTACCGTCCTGCGGACGCTTGATAAAGTTCACGCCCAAACGCTCAAATCGCTCGCACGCCTCATCAACGTTAGGAACCATCAGCCCGATGTGTCCTACAACAAGCTTTAGTTTACGGTTTCAATTCCCAACAGAATCTCACCGAATCCTCTCGGTTCGGAATTGCCGTTGTGATACCCTTTGAAATTGGGATCGTCCTCGGTGCCCCAATTGCTAAAATGCAAAAATTGAGATGACCTCCGCCTTAAAACGTACAAATTTACTGTGTCAATTCCAATGTCGCCTTTTGACTCATAGCCCACTCGGTTCGTTCTATTGAGCTTAATTCGCCTTTGAAATCGCTCGCATCCTCGTACCCCATAAAGTATAACGTAAATTTCATATCGGGAAAATCACGTTTCAGCAAGAGCCGCATACCCAAGACGCCGGTGTAGAAGGGAAGACTTTTTCGTGGATCTTTAATGCGATACATTGTTTGTTGAAACATGAAGTCCTGCATTATAAAAGCCTACAGTTGTAATAATTTTGATACCTTGTAGAGTACCTGTGTCGCATTTTCCGGTTCTTGACAGAGTTTCACGGCTTCGTCGTTGGTGATTGGAATTGTCCCTGCCATTATTGCTAACACGATTGTCGATTTCGTTGGAGATGTCCTCGGGTTGTGCTGAGAATCTTGCGGTTTGGTTATTTTCTGTTTCACATTTTTTGTTGCCTAATTTATGATTTCTTGTAATAACAGTGGCGTACCTAACAGTGAATTATAATATAGGGCAAAAATGACAATTAGTGTCACGACGGCAACGCTGTAGCAATTTGACAGATGAGGGGATTTCTGTTTACTTCTACAAAACGTAATTTCTGCATTTTTAGCTCATTTTATAAATTAAAATTTATTCCATTGTGTTTAATAAAACGCCCTCAGTGCCTGCTGAGAACCCAGTTATTACACGACGTAGGTGTCCTACATGACGATCACGATGATCTTTTTTTCATGAAAAAGTAGTTAAATGATGCCTAAACAAGCTCGTGAAAACCGCATCTCATCTCGATATCTTGTCCCTAACCTAAAATTTAGGCCAAAGAAAATGTTATACTCTGTAATGATCTTAGCCTGCTACCTTGGCGGCTACCGCAAACTTCAAATCACACCGGAATATTTGACCATGTTCTGTAGTAGCGGGAATGCCAAACTAACATATGGCCGCCTATTTGAATCTTCTCGCTTAAGTTTCCCGCGAGAATCTGTCACTCGGGGGCCACTCCGAGTGCACTAAGATCGTGATCGTCATGTAGGACACCTACGTTGTGTAATAACGGAGTTCTAAGCAGGCACTGAGGGCGTTTTATGGGTAAGGAACACCAAAAGCTAAGAGATGTCAAATATACCTCGCCGGGCGGGAGGATTACTCAGGCCCAGTGGGAACCCTGTAGACCTAGGCTAAAGTTGTTGGATTCGGAACGAGTGAAAATGTTAGTGTTAGGTTCACCAAGGCCGTAGGTATAAACTTGAATAGCTCGATCCCCTCTAAACAAGCACACTTCCCTCCTTCATTACTCACAGTCCCAAATAAGCAAATATAATGAAATGCAATGGAATAATCGAGAGTGACTAAAAAGCACAATACACAAATTAAATATGTACACATGCAAGTATGTAAAGCACAGATACAGCCTTACCGACAATGGAACGTGATTGCCAATACCAACAAAGGTTACACATTAAAGGTACAAGTGATTGAATTCGGTAAGTACATAAGTAAAGGGTTACAATCTGCATTCAAGTTACACACATTTATAGATTAATTGAATAAAGCAAATACCTCACCTGATATAACAAAGCAAAAGCACACAGCAATGATGAAGGTATAACAAAATATTTCAAGACAAGCCGGTTACAAGACAAAGACATGAACACATACATGTTAAATCCTATTTATTTGACCAAGCCAAGCCACGCGGTAATTTGATCTGCTAATACCCCTAAAAACCACCTGAAAATCGCCCATTCCCTGCATTTCACGCATTTCTAAGAAAAAAGTGGACTGCAGGTGTTTGAAATTGTAAACACATGTGATCTTCCAAGAAATTCCATCCATCTCATCTTCGCTCTCTTTCCCTTTTCTGTAATCCCACGAGCTTCGGTTGGCAGCTTGTGTAACTAACATGATTTATAGGGTGCTTCGTATTGATAATCATATTCACAGGACGTTGCTAAGGTTGGGGCATCTCATACCCTCAGAATTTTATTTTGTTTAAGCTAATTTTTCCTGAATTATTTTTATTATATAATTATTGTGGCCCTAAGGGGGATCGATTTAAAAAAGGAAGCTTTTAATGCCGCCGTAAATGCAAGGTATCGGGATGCTGTTTTCGCGAATTTGTTTAGGCATCATTTTGCTACTTTTTTGAGAAAATTAACCATTTCTGTCGGAATGTCGAAAAAGGCCCTCAAGTGGTGGTATGTGAAACTAACAAAACTTCAAATAGTATAATATTTGTAGCTGAAGATGCAGGGTGTTCTGTACGAAAACCTGTGAATACCCCCCGCCACTTCATTTTTAGAGATCAGGAAAACTTGTCAAACAAAAATTGTTCACATTATCGTCAACTTCAAAGAACGGACATTTTTTTGTTAGGTTAATATAGCGGAATTCAAAGAAACATCACTTTTTTAGATTCCAGATTGCAGTTGACCCCCTTAGCGGCCATTTCAGAAAATATTTTCCCGGTTTTGCTCGTGGCCGTTTTAGTAATAAGTTTTTTTCCCGCAAGCCTCTACGATGGATAGATTCTCAGATACAGTACCTCGCATTCTTAGTTGGCCACCCTGTATTTCACTTGCATTTCGTTGCTGTAGGTGATTTATTTAATGTATTTGTGTGGCCTATACCGGGGTTTTTGTCCCGTAGAAGGTTTCCCTGGTATAGTCTTGTTGTGCGCGTAATATATTTGTTCTTGTCATTTCTTACGCACAAAAGCTCTGTCTTTTATTTAATTCCCTTCGCAATTATGTCTCACGTCCCAACACGTACAAGAACCGATTACACAACGTAGGAGTTCATTTGTGCCGCCCATATCGAGCCGACTGCCATCTAAATTCAAAACTGCCGCGGAACGTCCGTCGTTTCGACTTGAAAGGCAGATGGCTCTGCTCGTAGTTTGTTCTCAGAGTTGCCAACGGTAAGTACAGGGTAAGTCAACGTTTTCAGTGTCGGCTTGATAGACCCCTAGGACCATTACTTGCAGATGTGTTGGATATTGACTCCCTCGGTACTGTGCAAACGCAAGGGCGCTAAAATTTGAATTTGCGTACAACTGTCTAAAGTGTAAGGGATAATTTAAATATGGAAGCAAGAGAAAGTTCAAAGCAGTAAAGTTCGTTCTGGGCAAGACAATCTCCGTGCGTTATGGTTGAGCGCCACCCAATTTCTAATGTACACTATCAACTCACCCTGCATAAAATTGGGAAGATACAGGATGGACAATAACCACAAATGCAAATATAAAATGGTTCTATATTGCTGGTTGCTTTCAAATAAATTGCAAAATAATATATAAGTGTAATTACACACTGCACATATCATAAAACCCCCCCAATTAATTCCCAAAAATTATATTCCACTTCAAAAATGATTGCCCCCAATTACTGTTCCTTAATGAAAAATGATCGTTAAGATTGATAAATGAATCGCACATATAAATTACAAAATGGTTACGTTACTACCGGTCACAAATAGTAACGAAAGTATCCCAACGCAAGTTCGGTAACAACAAAGCAAATAAAATACAACACTTACCTTAGGTAACATTCCAGATGTGAGGCAGCAAAGAGAGCTCTGTTTGCACCATTCATCTCTGCAATTAAAAGAGAACAAAAGGGGTCCAAACCACAGGGTTCGGAATATATGAATAAATGTCTGAAGGATCTACGAAGCTTGCGGTAAGCTCAAATCTCGGTACCCCGCTAAAAATGTCTGTATCTCTGATGGAGTGTCGCAGCCACACAAAAATTAATATATACGATCAAGCAAAAAAAAGGGCATTCTCGATCATGTCGAAACAGTAGGTAGTTACATGATTTCTCCCTTGTCTTCATAAAATGGCCGCTCTCTTATCTCCCTTCGTTACCTCTAAGTAAATTTAAGAGGGATTAAATACCAAGCGTTCCTCAATTACACATTTTCCGGTATGTCCGTAATTCGAAGAAAAAAGTTTCACGTTGAAGCCAGATGAACGGTAAAATGCTGCAGACTACTTGTCTCGCAATTAATACGGATAGAATTGCCAAAGTTTTTAACTAACATTGGTGGCAAAGATTAGCCACGTGTTTTCTTTTCTCACGAAGCACGGCTTGGTTGATCGTTCGATCACAGTCACAAATCAGAAAAAGCATGTGAAATCACAAAATCATGTGATTTGTGTGTGAAATTTTGGTTCGCGCCATAGATATATAAATACATAGATACAGCCATACCCCAACATAGTTCAAAAGGACGTACCATCTATTACCATCACTTTCGGCACATTAATTACGTATAGCGCTATCCTTTATAGAGGTACCCTGAGCATGGAAGACAAGATTCGCATTATTTATTATAGCTGTCAATCAAATTGTTAGCACAAATCACACAGAAAATTATCAGATTTGAGACTTTACAACATAAATAAACCGCCTTTTTATTTATTTAAATCGCATAGCAGCAACAAATGTTACATTTAAAATGGAAGATGTTACTTAGAAAGCTGGAAAATGACGAATTTGAAAAAATTACAGCTGACAAATGGAAGAAAGTGTGTGAACATGTGGAAAGTGATTAATTTAAAAGAGAAGTTATATTGGTTGATGTTTCTGAACTTTATAATAAGTGTTAATAATGACAGTGATGATTCGGATTTGTCAATTTCATCTGACGATGATTCGGATTGTGAAGTTTTATAAACGTAATGAATGTTCACTAAATGAGTATTATCACCAATTGGATATCATTGCTATAAGATGTTGTATTTATTTTAAATAAATGTACACGTGTAGCTTACTTACTACAATTAGCACTATAATTTCAAAAAGAAACCCCACCGATTGGACATATGCCGAAAGGTAGGCAAGACGCGTAGCGACCAAAATTTGATATTGCACGCACACACAGTCTATAAATCTCGTTTTCCTAAGAATATTGCACGGATCCTTCTTTGTGATCATGATACAAACGCACTGCATCAACATCATATAGGCCAAAATGATAATTGGAAACGAATTCACTTCCTGTCGCAACTTAATCTCCGTAACCATTACGCCTACAACCATGCAATTAAAATTAAATTGTTGAACATAAACTTTACTTACTTACGGTTTTTTTTGATATTCTGCAAGCCAGCAATGAATTCACTGCAGCACATCATGCCAAACAAGGTAAACATAGTCCCAAATTTGAATGGCGTAGCTCTATGTAATAAAACTATTTCAGGAATAACAATTATGGACGCGTCTATCATTATGGCAAGCACTAATGTTATTCGTATTCAATTGATAACGCAATAATCACATAATATTTAGTGAAAAAACCGCCCATCATGTTTAGGGCGAATATTTTTAGTTAGATTTGATTTCGCGCAATCGTGAAATGTGTCAACTGTCACATGACTTATGGGACGCGCTAAGTTTGTTTTAAGCGTCCGATTCGCGTACGACATAGTGGTTAATGCAATAAAAAGAGATAGAACATGTTTCTTCTTGGTTAGAAAGTAATGGAGAGATGTACAAATTTCTTTGATATGTTTTTTAAAAACCGAGGTACGTTTGTTAAGGATGGCTGTATCTAGGTATTTATATATCTATGGTTCGCGCCGTAAGGTGCTGCCACCTGGCGGAACTAATCCAACCCACAGAAGTAGAAATATATGGTACATATCCGCCTATATACAGGGCGTACCGAATGTAAATACGGAATGATGCAAAGAAGAAATGAACTTGTTACAACTCAAGAAGGGAATGCTCGTAGTAAAAGCGTGAATTTGATCCTTTCGGCAAAGGGTGCGCTAAAAAAACACCAAAATTCTATTTTCGAGTTGTAGACTAATGGTACCTATCCGCCTCCGAGATTCAAAATTCAAATACGGTTCTATACTGCATTCATTATAAGAGGGTAGTAGATGGCGCTGTGTTTGAAGATAAACACACACAGGAAAAATATAAAAGGGCACCAAATTATTGTAAAGTAGAAATATTCAGCACTACGAACAGAAATAAACCTTTGACAATAACAGCTAATGACACTTCGGCAGTTTAGTTGGCAACATAAACTACCACCTTACAAAATTGACCAGTCGTTTTATGTTTCATTGTAATACTGACTCATGTTTTATCCAATCTAAGTGAAGGTCAAAGCTTTCCTATGCTTTCTACCGCTACCTTCTTAAAATGAATACAGTATAGTACAATATTAAACTCACAGATGGCGTCCCTTTTCTCGAAACAAATGGGCGCTAACTTCAAACTGACACATATCCATGACTTTGTCCCCCGTGAAGACAATTCCGATTTTTCTACCGCTCGTTATACAAAGATAACTCTTTACCTTTCATCTTTCGGTGTTTTTGATACGTTAAAATGGCAAGTAGATTTTTTGGTAATTTAACGCGCATGTTACTTTAAGTGACCGCGCACAAAAGGAAAATATCACTGGCACGCCTGTCGGCCAAAGTTGTAGTTATTCCGTGTTGCGGCTCTTGTTGGAGACTGACCATGTTGGGTGCCGTAACTCGTGCCGCTTCCAGCCTTTTGGCTGGAAAAACTTGTGAAAAGGTTACAAGCGAAACCGTAAAGGCCGTTGCTGGTTATAACAACTCGAGTAAGTAAGATTTGCGTTCGTCAATTGCCTACCCGTTACAACCCTCCATTGTACAGGCCTTCCATTGGCCGGTTTAAGTCCGATTTGTGCAGTAAATCTTGTAATCTGCCAATTACTTACTGTAGATGCCCCTAATTAAGGGTACTTTGCGAAAAACTTGAGTTAAAACTTCAAATTTGGAGGTTACATAATCCCCGTGCGCCATATTGGTTTCGTTACGTAAATAATCCTTTTTTTATTTTAGAAAGAAGTTATGCAGCGGCGGCAGCCCCGAAAGCAGCTTCGAAGAGGGCGCAAGGAAAAATTGTAGCCGTTATTGGTGCCGTAGTCGATGTGCAATTCGAAGATGATCTTCCCCCGATTCTCAACTCGCTCGAAGTGCAAGGCCGACAGACGAGGCTCGTGCTCGAAGTCGCCCAACATTTGGGCGAAAACACGGTCAGAACGATCGCCATGGACGGTACCGAAGGTCTCGTACGCGGGCAAGTCGTCTTAGATACCGGTTTCCCAATCCGTATTCCGGTCGGCTCGGAAACCCTAGGCCGAATTATTAACGTAATCGGCGAGCCGATCGACGAGAGGGGACCGATCGGTACGGATAAGTTAGCCGCCATTCACGCGGAGGCGCCGGAATTCGTCGAGATGAGCGTCGAGCAGGAAATCTTGGTGACCGGTATTAAGGTCGTCGATCTTCTCGCCCCGTACGCCAAGGGAGGTAAAATCGGTCTGTTCGGCGGTGCGGGCGTAGGCAAAACTGTGTTGATTATGGAGTTGATTAATAACGTGGCGAAGGCCCACGGTGGTTATTCCGTATTTGCCGGCGTAGGCGAACGAACCCGCGAGGGTAACGATTTATATCACGAAATGATCGAGTCCGGTGTAATTTCGCTGAAGGATAAGACGTCGAAGGTGGCGTTAGTGTACGGGCAAATGAACGAGCCGCCCGGCGCTCGTGCCCGTGTCGCCTTGACCGGATTGACGGTCGCCGAACATTTCCGCGATCAAGAGGGCCAAGATGTGTTGCTGTTCATCGATAACATTTTCAGATTCACCCAGGCCGGTTCTGAGGTGTCCGCTTTGCTCGGTCGTATTCCATCGGCTGTAGGTTATCAGCCAACTTTGGCCACGGACATGGGTAGCATGCAGGAGAGAATTACGACCACCAAGAAGGGCTCGATCACATCCGTGCAGGCCATTTATGTACCCGCTGACGATTTAACCGATCCCGCCCCCGCAACAACCTTCGCTCACTTGGATGCCACGACTGTATTGTCGCGTGCCATCGCCGAATTAGGTATTTATCCCGCCGTAGATCCCCTCGATTCCACCTCCCGTATTATGGATCCCAACATCATCGGTGTCGAACACTACGGTATTGCTCGTGGTGTACAAAAGATCTTGCAAGATTACAAATCCCTACAGGTAAAAATCACGTAGTCCGCCGCAACCCACTTGACATTCTTTCACCCTTTAGGACATCATCGCCATCTTGGGTATGGACGAGCTGTCAGAAGACGACAAATTGACCGTTGCGCGAGCGCGTAAGATCCAACGTTTCTTATCCCAGCCATTCCAAGTCGCCGAAGTTTTCACCGGTCACGCCGGCAAACTGGTACCTCTAGCCGACACCATCAAGGGTTTCACAAAGATTCTGAACGGTGACTACGATCATTTACCAGAGGTCGCTTTCTACATGGTGGGTCCGATTGAGGAGGTTGTACAAAAAGCTGAAAAATTAGCCGCGGAAAGTAATTAAATTCTACTTTAGCAAAACTTTTATATATCCGTTAATGGTTCTTTTTTTGAATAAAAATTGTAACTTTACCAAGCAGGAAGTGTTAACTTATGTCATTGTCATCTGTATGTAAATTTAATTTTAAAAATAAATAGATTTGTTAGGCTACTTATTCGAAAATATGCTGCCTAACCGTCCCAGCCTAATATGGAAGAGCCCCGTCGTGTAGAAAGTGCAAATTTTCTTTGCCTAGCAATGAGATCCAAACATTGTGTCATCAGATCTCTTTCTGGGAATGATTCCCAAGAATACCTGCCAGGGGCGGCTTCTCTAGTACCACTGCAGAACCATAAGAAAAATTCTCAATTTATGCATTAAATATTGTACTAGTTAGGTTACAGGATCATTACAATATTAGCTGAGCAGTTCATTAAAAGTAGGTATTAAGAGGTTCCACCCAGTATATAAAACTAACAACGATACATGCATTTTTGAGAATTGACAACCATGCAATTTCTAGGTGGGAAAAAGCTACCTGCGCCATCTAGAAAGCTCGAACGGGGCTTACGTTTGGCATCTTGTCTTGAATGGCAGCCGTGAACGCCTCGCTCCATAAATGTTGGTTGTTATTTTGTGTTATTTAATGCAGGTAGTAATTTTTGTATTTCTTTATATCGTATTTGTGTTTTGTATCCAGCATTTTATATTTTTGGGAGTTTCAATCTCTGTTTCTGAAATTGACTTGATTTAACCGCAATGCAGAATCACATATGTGATACCGTTATGCTATTGTTTGTAATTGTTTACGTTTTGGTGTAATGCTTGCTTAATTTATGTTTAATGATGTTGATTACTAGGTCTTGTCCCTGAAGTAACATTCATATAAGTTTTGATCATTTTATTTTAATATGTGGAAATTACCGAGTTTTTGACGTAAACAACGCTTTGACCTGAAGCACAGTAGGGAAGGAACGTAAAATAAAACACTCCATTTGTGAAAAGTTTGTTTAAATAATGATCGTAATTATTATGATTGTAAAAGCTCGGAAATTTAAGTCGAAATAAATTAAATTTCAAAAATAAACTTTGAAAATTGAATCAAAATAGGAATAGGCTGGCAAAAAAAATAACTTACCATTAAAAAAACCAGCCGTCAAATCAATATTAAATTGTGTAGTAAAATTAATTGTTTGTAATGATGTGAATGCGTAACATAAAATTATAACATCACAAAAAGTAGCAGGTATAAATTTCAACAAGAGATGGACCACCATGGGTGGACATTACGTACCTACAAATTGTTGAGCTGTAAGAAATAACCAGATAACGACCCGAAGGACTTACTTAAAAACAAGTTTTTTAAATAAAAGGGCAATAATTATTAGTTTCACTTTTTAGTTGAACTTCCACTATAAACAAACAAGAAAAGGTATTTTGGTTTTCTATTGGCAAAACTGATACACTGGTTCATAATTGATTCATTTGTCACATTAAAAATTTTTTAAATCTGGCAACCGCGCGGCTCTTCAAGACAAGATTAAAGTTATCGGCGTTTCGTGTTGTTCAGTGCAGGGTAGTAGCCTTCACATTTTTTGTGTTTTTCTAGTAAATGCTTCAGTTACATGGTCTTATCGCCATATTTGCACATTTGTTTATGTGGTAGATATCGAACCCATGTAACTGTTACGGCATCGCACTCTATCCAAAGCCTTACCTTTACGCTGGCATTTCCCGAACGAGGGACCAGTCATCGGCCTCAAGGGCGAGACCCTGCTAGCAAAACCTCCACTTTTGAGTCTAGGTAAGATATGAGGTACAATTTTATTAATTTCTACATACTCCGTTTCTTAAACTTTGAATTTGCCCACCAATATCATTAAATTTTTCATGTTTGTAGTGTACTTAACCCCCAGGTTCTACGCTAACTTCACGCTATGAGAACACGGAAATAAAGTCAACCCGGCAACGTTTAAAAATGGCGACCCGAGTGACTATTCCCTCCAAAACTAAATAAGATCCCGCTTAAATTTGAAAAGTGGCACGTGATCAAACATCTACGGCAGGGCTTCCTTACGTTAGTTGTAAACAACGCTTTGACCTGAAGCACAGTAGAGAAGGAACGTAAAATAAAACACTCAAATTGTGAAAAGTTTGTTTAATAATGAACGCAAATTATTATTGATTGTAAAAGCTCGGAAATTTTAGTCCAAAATAAATTACATTGCAAAAATAAACTTTTGAAAATGGTAGTTCACGGAATCAAAATAGAAATAGGCTGGAAAAAAAGAACTAACCAATAAAAAACCAGCCGTCAAATTAATATTAAATTGTGTAGTAAGATTAATTGTTTGAAATGATGTGAATGCGTAACATGAAATTATAACATCACAAAAAGTAGCAGGTAAATTTCAAGAGGTACCTAACATTTAGGTTAAAAACAAGTTTTGGGAATTATGGGTCAGGTAAGCAGATACCAAGATTCTAAGAAAGGGTGAAATACACAGGATGTGACTCATCTTTGATGCAATAAAGTACTTTTGTTAAAAGCAAGATGGAAAATGACATGGCCTTGTAGGCAAATTTAACTAAAAACAAGATATGTAGAAATTATTGAATCGCCACTAATTTGTCGCACATAGATTCTAGACTGAAGAGCTTTGATTAGCGTAATCCCGCTCTTGCAAGATAGGTAACCCGCCCCCGATTTCGGGGTTTCGAGCCTACAGTTGAATGTCGAAGACAATCACGGAATTAGGTGTCGTACTTCAAATGGTTACAGTTTTTACCACCCCCGTGACTGCTTAATTCACGGAGAAAATTGTTAGTTACAAACAACAAGTTAGTACATACATCAAACGAATCGGTAATTTCCACATATTAAAATAAAATGATCAAAACCTATTAATCATTAATAAACATAAACTAAGCAAGCATTACACAAAAAACATAAAAAATTACAAACAATAGCATAACGGTATCACATATGTGATTCTGCATTGCGGTTACGCCATGTAAATTTCAAAAACAAGATTCAAACACACACAAAAATAAAATGTGGCATACAAAACACAAATACGGTATATAGAAATGCAAAGATTATTATTACCTGCATTAAAAAAAACACAAAATAACAACAAATATTTATGGAGCGACGTGTTCACGGCCGCCATTCAAGACAAAATGTTCAACGTAACTAACGTTCGTGCTTTCTAGATGGTGCAGGCAGCTTTTCCCCACCACTTAGAAATTGCATGGTTGCCAACTCTCAAAAATGTATGTATCGTCGTAAGTTGTATATACAGAGTGGAATCTCTCACCCTTTGTATGGATTCGATTCTTATTCATGAATGTAATACAAATCTGTCCTTACAAACAATTCTCATGGATCGACTCTTTTAGGAATATTAAAATTACGAAAATCAATGATAGAAAAACCACTAAACACTGCATGGGATCGCTCGCGAATTCGTCTTCAAATATAATTTTTAACGGGCTCAAATAATACCACTCCACTCGCGAATCCGATCCCATTGGTTGACCCAATTGTAACCAACGCAACTGACGAAATTTATTCTAGGTATAGCTTATTCTGGGTATATATCTGCATTGTAGAATCGGCCCTAAATCTCGTCCGTTAAAACTTGTGAAACGGAACCTATTTTCTATTTAAACTCGCGAATAGGAAACGCGCAACACGGAACGACACTTTTAGGTCTGAAGAGATCGTGGCAACCGCGCTCGTTTTCCGCAATATGTTTCTTGATATCGCTTGTTATCGCTAGACATATTTGCGTTCATGTTCGCTATGAAGCGGTAAATTTTCTTATACTTTTTTAAATTCTAAAGTGAAAGATGGCGAGAAATTTCCGTTTCAGTTGAGGAGAAAGCAAGTTTTTATTTGTAAAAATTATCAAAGTCCTCGTTTGAGATCGAAGGGACTTCAGCGCATTTTTGTGTGGCAGATCAGTATTCTATTAGCCACTTTCGATTCAGCCATCAATAACAGATCTTGTCGAAGGCTACTACATTCACTAACCGCTTCCCACTTTCCTCGTGCACCCGCAATTCGCTTTTAAAGATTTGACTCCACCATCAGAAAGATCGTGTCGGGGGCTACCACATTCCCTCTGACGGTACCCACTTCCGACGTTCGGTTCACCCGCAATTCGCGTTTGAAGATTTGACTCCACCATCAGGAAGATCGTGTCGGGGGCTACCACATTCCCTTTGACGGTACCCACTTCCGACGTTCGGTTCACCCGCAATTCGCGTTTGAAGGTTTGACTCCACCATCAGTGAGATCGTGTCGCGGGCTACCACATTCCCTTTTACGGTACCCACTTCCGACGTCCCGTTCACCCGCAATTCGCGTTTGAAGATTTGACTCCCCCATCAGGAAGATCGTGTCGGGGGCTACCACATTCCCGTTGACGGTACCCCCTTCCGACGTCCCGTTCACTCGCAATTCGCGTTTGAAGATTTGACTCCACCATCAGGAAGATCGTGTCGGGGGCTACCACATTCCCTTTGACGGTACCTCCTTCCGACGTCCCGTTTACCAGCAATTCGCGTTTGAAGATTTGACTCCACCATCAGGAAAATCGTGTCGGGGGCTACCACATTTCCTTTGACGGTACCCCCTTCCGACGTCCGCAATTCGCGATTGAAGATTTGACTCCACCATCAGTGAGATCGTGTCGCGGGCTACCACATTCTCTTTTACGGTACCCACTTCCGACGTCCCGTTCACTCGCAATTCACTTCTATTGGCGACACGAGAAAGAGAGACAGCGATTCTAGATTCACGAAACGTTAAACCGCGTGAGTTCGCAACGGAAGGTAAAAGGCGCCTGACTACTTCTCGAAGACGCGCGCGCCGCCTCGCAAAAGGTCGTTAATTTCGCCCCTATGACAAAAAACAAAATTCGGCCACGCAGGAGTTGTGCGCGTTTACAACATCTTTCCGACGACACCAATTTCAAAAGAATCGGACCAAAACTGTAGTAGAAGATAGGAAAAAACTGAAAAACCTTCACGTTAGTATACTACGCTCGAGGATGACGCCCAGATGTCGCCAACCCCACATCATGTAGCCATCTCCCTAAGGTTGACAAATTTCACGGCCCTGTAGATACACGTACACCCGTTGCCTTTCTACAAGAGTTCTT